ATATCTTTATTAAATAAAATATTACAAAGCAGACTCCTCACCTGGCAGAGTTGCCAATTATACATAGTTTACCATTAGTATACAATGTAGTGATTTTTACATGGACAAAGTACATAGGTATTATTGTTGTACATAATACATAGCGGTGTATAGTTCTAATTTCTAAAGGTACCTTGGCACCTACCTATTTTGATTTTACGTCTTTACATAAACTTTCAAATTTTTAAATTGGTTTATCGATTTACTAATTTCTTAGTAACAAAGTTTACCTATATTTTGACCAAATACGTTTCAAATACTGTTCAAAAACTATTGTACATCGTTGGTGAAAATTCTAACCATTGTTGAGCCTTTCGTGTAAATAATCACATTAAAACATCAGTTGACAATATTTGGACTGTGAGACATCGATCTGAATGCACCAACACATTAAAACGCTCAACCTTTTGCCTAGTGAGCACGATTTTAGAAGCACCTGGCCTAGCGTCATCTGCACCGATTATCACCCTGCCGAAAACGCCGTCCTTCGTAGTTCGTATATACGTGTTGGCATTGAACAGTCATTACCCAACGAGTGTTTCAATTTGACAAGATTACTGTCAGTTTTTGACGGATTTCACAAGAAAATTAATGACGATTCGTTGCTAGTTTTTCACGTCACACACTTTCCGACGTCACGACACTACACCCACCAACTTCCAAAATTCGCACAGCACAACATTTAACACCAATCACTATCAAACATGGTAGGCTAGTTTCCGAGCTAATAAACTTTACAATAAGATAATTTTCATGATATCAGGCTTAACACTTGAGGGGCTAGAAACAAATTCTAGTTATTTAATTGCCACACCTCGTATTACTATAGGTAGCTAAACTAATGTAGTTATGCACTTATGCATAACAAGTTTTGCATTAACGATGGACCTTATAATATTATCTGTTACCTAAAATATATGAACTAATGAATGTTGAATATCTGATTTTAGAGAGAAATACCGTCGGCAATATTTGTCCGCTGTGTTTGGAGGAAATAGGAAGCGATCATCAAGATTGGTATAAACATCTAGTCGGTCCGTCAGCATGTGAAATTCATCCACGAAAAAATTACCTTAAACGTCACTAAATTAGAGTCGAACGTATTTAAGTAAATACGTGCGTATTTATGAGTCGCTTTAGGGCAGACATAATAATATCATTTTTATTAAATTAATGTTCAATTACTTTATTGCCAAAACCTATAATTTAACCGTCTTCACAATCTTTGCCAATAATAATAATAATAATAATAACTAATAAGTATTACTTTTAGAAAATGACTGATTATTATTCAAGCATTTAGTTTTTATTATTGAGTAAACTGCATAACTGAATGTTATAGCGAATTTATTTTTGTATTTTACAAATTTATTAAATTATCAATGTTATTAATACATTTATACAGTGTAATACTTGTTACATATTGTGCTTAATGTGTTATGCGTCATACAATGTTTTTTCTTTATACTGTATATTAAATATTTATTATAATTAAAAATTCAATTCAATAATTCACTTGTGTCATTATTCCACAAGTTTCCCATAAGCAAAACTAAGATAAGACGTATACTTATCCCGTATCCTAAACATAACTTATTTCATTAAAAACGTATTTAGATTGTTTGTTAAAATTAAAAATTAATTTTATCTAGCTAGTCGAAATTACTGTCTAATTTTCTAAACTGCAGAATGTTGATTTATTGACTTACTGTACTTAGGCCACAGTGGCCTAAGCGTGGGCAAGAATGTCCGAATGGGTCAATACTCAATAAGGTCCATTATAATATACATAATATAACATAATTGAATAAGAACATTGAAAGCAGATATATATAATTATATAATATTATACAATCTCCCCCTCTCCCTCAAACCATGATCAAATTACACCACTGCTACACAAATAACCCTGATATTGAAATGATTTCTAAATTCCTCATATTTTGTTTATTAGGTTTCAATATACCTTGTTATTGGTTAGAAAACAGATATTTAAATAATGCAATTAAAACTGAAATAAAAAAAAATTAAAGATTATTAGTATGCACCTAGAAACGCCGGGGAACACAGACGACAGACACTAGATAATAATATAATATTATTAATTGTTTTAAATTTTTCGCACACATAAAATGTGTTGTCCGGCGAATTGTATAGGCAAAATAGGTACCTACATTACTGAAGTGTTCAATATTGCCCATAACTTAGGGTTGCCATTCGTCCCGATTTCGCCGGGACACTACCGGTTTTTACTACAGAGTCCCGATATTTTTCATTTCCCGGCCGGGACGTGGATAAGTACCGGTTACTTAAAATAAGTCCCGAATTGTTCACTTGTGAATAACAAACAATAAATAATTGTCGGAAATTTCCGAGATAGCCGAGGACCGATAATTTTACCGACAAAGTCTCATAGCGACATAGCGTATACAATTTATAGAAATAACGATTAGTCGTATATTATAGTCATATATTAGTCTTCACTCTTCAGTCATACGTATTTAGTATTAAATTACTTTGCTGTGTTCTGTGTTGTAGTTACTAATTTTTATTTTTATGCTATTCTACGTATTATTATTTAATTTTAATATTACTTTAAATGAGGAAGAACTGTATGAAAAATTTAAAATGTTTGAACAATTTTTAAGAAATAAAACCGACGAATGGCAATGCAAAACATCTGAAGAAAAATGGCTGTCAATTTTTAAATCATTTAAAGAGAATAATATTGATTATTCTATGTTATTAAAAATTGTAGAATTTGCATTTGCATTGCTTGGATCTAACGCTGCAGTGGAGAGAATATTTTCATTGATGAACAGTTGTTGGACAAAGTCACGAGGTAATTTATGCATCAATACAGTAGAAGCTACTTTAGTCAATAAGACTAATTTGGAAAATAAACCATGCCAACAATTTTATGAAGACATTTCGAAAAATAAAGATTTGCTCATTCGAGTTCATAAAACTGCAAAATATTCAACAACAAATCAAAAATCAGAAACGGAAGCTTCTGGATCTCAAACATGAAAAAATTCGAAAAATGAAGTTAGATGAAATCGATGATGAATATTTAAATAATACACATATTAGTAAATAAGTAAGACCACTCTGTTTTAAATTAAAAATTGTGTACCTACCTAATTAATTTTTTTAGATAATTTAAAATTATATTTATGAATAAGATAATAATAATACTATTATTACATTTTGTGCTATTTCTAATTTTTAACTTTTTTATTTATTATAAATTATAATATAATAAAAATATTAAATAACGTTGGACTAAAAAAAGTATTATTAAAAATTCCAAAGAATGTGTTGTGGGGGAGGGGGGATATTATAGTGTCCCGACTATTTTTGTATAAATGGCAACCCTACCATAACTATAATACATTTTAGATCATTGCAAGTATACTCGGTTTGCGATAATGGTTACACACAATCCAAAACGGGTTATACCTCGCCATAGTCTCCCAAACACACACTTCTTAGATCCATTTAAATCCGGAAAATCGTAGGCAGGTACCTACAACACTTATTCAAGGGCTACTTAGTGAATTATCCGCCCAGAAATGTTGGGTAATACAGCTAGTGCCTAGTAGATAATAATATAATATTATTAACTGTTGTAAAAACAAACAAAATATGTTGCCCTGCGACAACCAGTTTCCAGCTTCTACTATGTGTCAAGTCAATGTATTTTATTTTATGTTTTTAATTTTTTTAATGCATTTTTTTTTTTGCTCCGGTGACCCTGATAGAATGAAAGAACGTGAGAATAAACACTGGTATACTGTCAACATATATACTTGTATATTAAAGCTTAAAATGTGTTAACTTATAAGTTAAACTAGTTAAAGAGTATAATGTGTTTCAATGTTACAAATCATAATAAGTAACCGACCAAATAACCCATCAGTGATAAGTGATAAATATTTTGTGTGGCAGCGGGAAAGTTTTGTGACTCATCAATAAATAATTATTGTTGTCACCAAACCGGGAAAGGTTTTAAAATTTAGTTAGTAATTCAATCACGTAACCTACTTGATTATTCTATCATTCGTTAAAACAATTCTGTTTTTCTTCCATATATGTTCAGTAAAGAACAAAACGTCGATATAAATTATTTAAATTTGACCTCAGGAGTCAAGACATAATATGAAAACCCTACTTTGCTACTTTTTTTTTTACGCACTTCAATAAATTAAAAACTAGTCGTTGCATTGAGTTATATAATATACATAATACAAGGCCTTCACAAGTCTCTGAAATATATGTTGAATTATACTGAAAAACGTTTACAACCAACTTTGATTGACTAATGTTAAAAGAATTAATATTTTTTTCATGAAAACAACTAAAAATATAATATTTCATCAAACAATTTTTGTTGGAAAAACTATTAGTCACTAATAAATTACACATCCCAAATTTTGGAGGAAATCCTCATCTAAATTATGTACAAAGTTGTAATGGTGTTCGGTGCAACAAGTAACAACCTATAACATTATAATTACTTGAGTACTCGACAACGCCCAAATAGTCAAGTTGTCTCAAGAATTAGTGGATTAATTTCGACAATCATTGACAAAGAATATTTAAAAAATATATGTAATATGTATAGACATTTTGTTTATTGATCGTTGTTTCTTATTATAATTCTGTTTGATTAAAAAGAAAAAAAAAGATACATATTTATCGGACTGTAATAATATTCTAATAAATAGATTATTCATATTGATAATTCTTGATAATTAGAAACCACGTCTTAAAGATAATTTTGGCAATTAAGTAACTATAGTAAATCTGTTAAGATAATATTTTTCTAAACACTAATACACAATAGTATTTAGCAATGAAGTTGTTTGATGGGAAAAACATATTGGTCAGTCTTGAAGGTGCATTTTTTTATTTAAGTATATTATAAGAAGTAATAATAGCATGTATTGTGTACATTTTTATTCGCATTTGATGAGTTCAACATCAAAAATCAAAGTAGCATTTGGTGGAATGACACCAGGATGTCCCAGAGCTCCATAGGCATAATCTGGAGTACATGTCAGCTTAGCACGAGAACCAATACTCATCTAGAAAAATAAAATAATTAAAGAAGAGAAATTACTTATTAATTAGAATAATTATTAGTACGCTAATAAGAGGTTAATTATTTTTAGTTTTCAAATGTTTGAAGTTTTTTCTATACAAACATTTATTTAATATAAAATTATTAATTTAATGTTTTCTCACCTGGGCAACTCCTTCATCCCAACCTTTGATAACTTCTCCCTTTCCAATCTTGAACTTGAAAGGCTTATTACGGTCGCGTGACGAGTCAAATTTCTTGCCATCAGTCAATGTACCTATTATAGATAATTTTGGTTACAGATTAAGAAGCAACTAAAAGGTACGTAATTATGTAAATATTTTTGAATCTATGATGGTTTGAAGAGTTAACAACTACTATTCTGGTGTGGTGGACCCACTAGTCATTTGGAGAGTAATAACAGAGAAGTGCTTAGTTTCCTAGTTTTTCATAACACAGTGCAACATTTTATAGAGCGGCATGCAAAACATTTTTTAGGTATAAGAACAACAAAGGAAATTTGTGGCACCATAATAATAATTATAGATTAACGGCTAATATTTAGGAGGATGTAACACTGGCATTTTTTTGTCTCTGTCTTACAAGTGCAACATTAACATAGCAAATTTACACTCGGCAGATGATGGCAAATTGTAGTGAATCAACCTATTATAGTTATAAAGTTATAGTTATAGTATTATAGTTATAAAGTTATACTTTATGGTAAGAACATTATGTCATTATCTATATTATATACACAACACTTACAAATAAATCAAACTATAATAAAAAAAACTCACATACAAACACAGATAATGTTCTTACCATTAAGTTTCATAATAGGTTCACTCTAATTTTTAAGCTAACGAAGCTATACGTGATCTGCTGAGCGTACATTTGCGTAATGTTACGTATTTGTAAGACAGAGACAAGAAATACTTGTGTTACGTACTCTTAAGCAGAACTACAGCAAAAACGGTAGCAGTCATACAAATTTTGTTGGGAAAATTTGGCCGGCAATGCCAGACACGTTGTTTACATGATTACGATGACACGTTACCTGTGTAGTGCACGGTGACGGTCTGGCCTCGTTTCGGGAAAGTGGCACCTATGAAACAAACACAAAACGAACGGATCAGTAACAGAGCTGTGCGATTGTCGGGCATGAGCGACACGCAGTCGCTACTCGTCCGCCTCGAACAATAACAGTTTACTTAAACTGTGACGACGTCGTCGTGCCTTAGACACCGTAAACGCAAAATTTGAAATAAGTGCGAGATGGACGCCGGCCGGTCGCTCTTGGCACCAGCCGTCAGCCGAACGAACGACGCCGTCACAGGGCACGACATGACTTGACTTACCGTCTCCTTCGGCAAGGAATGTGACGTCGACGCCCATCGTTGGTTTGGATTAGTGTTTGCGGTTTTCAAATAAAGCAAAAAATTAAAAAATATACGGCGCACACGCGTTATCCGCGACGACAACGAAGAAGTGATCGGAGGGAGGAGTGGAGAGGTGGTACCAAAGGCATTGGCCAAGATGCCCAAGTATTATACCGATTACCGAGTAGTCGGTGGTAGAGGAAAGATCACGAATTCGATGTAAATTACAGTGTCGCCATAGCGTCTGAACGGAATAGAACTGTACGCACTGTTGGTTAAAATGTATTCACGATCCACCGACCATAGGCACAGAACCCATAGGTTAGGAATACTGCCAACATAATATTCTGGAGGATGAATATATTTAAATGTATATTATAAACACAGATACTCGCCTATATGCCTATACGCCTATATGCCTATACAGATTACAGAGTGTAACAGAAAGATCTGACCAAAAAAAAAAAAATTGATGCCACTTAAACGTATGACAAAAATTGATAAAATTATATGATTAGTAAATAATTTAAGAAATATACGCATGTTAGCAAATTTCCAAAAATAATATTTTTATTTTATTACATATTGTGTAGAACAAGAGGCTTTAAGTTATATTTTAAAAAAAAAAGTCGAGCGTGTAAGAAGTACGCGGGGATGAAGTGAAACTTCTTTCAGTCATACAACTGATATGAGGTTTTGTAATAATAATAATAATAATAATCTTATGTTAATTAATGGTATATATATATTTATGGTATTAATAATGATATATCAAGTAGGTACCTTCTACAAAGTATACATGTAGGTTACTTATATATAATATAAATAATTGTACTTGTACCATTTTCTATCCAAGTATAAAGGAAACATATTGGTACGTTGGTAATGGTAAATATGTAGATGAAATCAAGTATTAATTAAATATTTATTATTATTATTATTATTATTTATTAAATACTTATAGTATAGTCATATAATATGATGAAATTCATCGAGTTATATTTTGAATATACATAATTTGACTCACCTAAAAATAGTATATTATATTATATTATATTATATTATCGCGCACTCTGGAATATTTATTATATCATAGAACAATATAGAAGCGACACTCGATCAGCTGATGGGTGAAGTGTTTACCTATGATCTGAAGTCCGAACATTCAAACTGTTTCCGTTTACCAACATGATGTTATACCCGTATTGAAAAACCGTCTCCGATTAATAGGCAGGGTATTCTGCGCGGGTCGGGTTGTTTCCAGCATAGAAAAATTGTTTCCACTGTTTACTGTAACGTATGCCACGCCCCTTTAGAGACCATTTTCAAGACCACAATCTCCCGATCCGACCAATTCACGGAGTGTCGTACCCCTGATTATATATGCGTTTTCGCTTTTATCAACTTGACTACGGAATATTGTTTATACCATGATAAAATAACATGGTATGCTGGCAACTTTATGATACGCATACCCCTTACCCCGCCGACCATCATACAGAGCTGTATCCAGTTCGCCGCTTTTCATTGGTTTTCATGATCAATATATATACATAGTGCATTATGAGGAGAACTGGATACAATGAAATGCGCAAACTCCGACGATATTCAGTTCGTTGCCATCATACCATGTTATTTTATCATGGTTTATACGTTTATACTGGTTTGTTTATAATATCATATGATATGTTTCCAAAAAGATTACAAAATATTGAAACGGAAAATATCAAAAACTTTATAAACAAAACATCGTACCGTTTTCGTGACGCGCGAGCGTCCGTGACGCCCGAGCGTCCGTGACGCCCGAGCGTCCGTGACGCCCGAGCGTCCGAGCGTCCGTGACGCCCGAGCGTCACTCTCTTTTTTTTCAATACCCCTCACATAAGAAGTTTAACTTCAAAAAATTTGAATATTGATTAGCACAAAAGTTATTCCAAAAGTCAGTTCTATCTGTTACACTCTGTATATATCAATTATCAGTGATTATAAATTATTTTAATGTTATAAAGTTTTACCCTATGTCCTAGCTAGTGCGGGCGAGTGCGTGCGTTTTATATACTGACCATGCTGTTCTGCACGCAATGCGTTGCCCGCATGCGGCGAAATACAAGCTATTTTGTTTTTCCCCGCATGCGTGCAAACCAGCTAGGACATAGCGTTATGTTATATAATAATTATATTTATTTTTTTTTATTGAGCTTGAGCCCGGAAACTTAGGCTATTAGCAATTTTGTTTGTAGGTTGTTAGTAGGGGGAGGAACGGTTGAAAACACGTTTTGTATGTGTGGCAAGGATTCGTTGCTAAAAATCCTGGGTGGTCATCCATCTGGGAACTAGCAACGCCGCGCCAGCTGTTACGTACACTCAGTGCGTTCTCACAGTTGAGTGAAGCACTGCGCTACACGCCTACACCAAGCCACATAATTATATAAATTATTACGATAGAGGGTAATTTTAAATTTATGATATATTTTAGACTTTGTATGAGCATTGAGTAATCATAACTCATGTAAGTACTAAGATATATCTTGGTTAGGACCTTATTGTTTATTATTAGGGGTACTGAAACATTAGCGGTACCTACCTTCAGCCTGAACATGACTGAGTCCTCCTGCATCCCCCCACTTTAACCCCTGCATACATACAATTAGTTAAAGAAAATAATCTAGGAAAAAGTTCCAGCTGCTGAAGTAGATTTAGATTTAGGTGGGTTCCTACAAAAAATAATAATCAAGATCTCGTTAAATGAACTGTGGTATAAAATCCAACTTTAAATAATAATTCAGGACAATCGATATAATAATAATATCATAATTATGTCAGCAACTTTTTATATCCTTTAATTTACTCGTTTACCAATTACAGCCTTTTATATTTAAATATTAAATACTATGATAATTTACTGAAATTATAACGGAAAAAAAATCAAATATTTTACTGCAGTTAATCATTACCTATAATATTTTATATTACCTAGATGGCTATAGGTACATATATAAGGCTGTACCTACTAATTTTATATTAATTATATAAATTATAATGCCTTCTTAATGGCTTAGTGAATAGTGATGTGTATATTATACCTAGTTAAAGTTCAAACATGCAACAACCAACGGTTATCTATCAATCTATATCCAGATAACCGTGATTCGAACAAAGTTATTTTATATTTTACTAGACATAAATATAATGTGTTGTTGATTAGTGCTTAACTTTTAATTAAGTCAATTCGTTTTTATTTTTGATAGTTACCTATATTTTTAATTGCAGCAGCTATAGTTTATACATTCCTACCTAATAATAATACCTACCTACCTATAAAGATCATACTATATTATAAGTATTAATTATTACTAGATATTTTAGGTATATATGTATAATATTAGGCATATCAATAGGCGCAATTTGGGTTAAATTTATGGGGGTGCTAGTATTATGTCGACTAAAGTGATCAGTGGGGGCTTTGCCCTCCACGCCACCGCTCCTTTCAAACACCTTAATTTTATACACCTTCGCATTGATCTTAATATGTATAAACAATAATATTACTTAGTGACTAGTACATAGGTACCTACTTCAATGCTAATAATTTAATAATAAGTAGGTATAGCAATAAATATAAGCATTATTATCCATGAACCTACATTATGTATTCTTGTTTATATACGAATATACGATCTAGTAGTTGGGGTTTTAGGACAGAACTATACAAGTCAGGGTTAGGTAAAATACAAATATATATTTATTAATTATTATAAATATGATTTATTACATAATATTAGACCATGTCACTAATGTCAGAGTGATTTATGATGTCATATAAATAACAGAATTAAAACAAAATTTTCTAATTACACTAATTAGTCAAGAGTTATTATAAAACTTGATGTTGATTATGTAAGTCATGTCTCGGAAACAAATATTGAACAAAAGTTGTCGCAGATTTAAAATTATTTGTGAAAATATCTAAGTCAAGTTTGTTTTAAATGTAGGTATTATGTAGGTATACTAAATACTTATTGCCTGGTTAGTTATGTATGCACTATGCAGCTCTATTACAATAGAGTTATTGTTGATATTATACTATTATAATTTATATTATAATAAAGAACTGCAGACCATAAAGTTAATAAAACAAAGCATAATTATTACTTATTTACTTTCATATAGTAAAACAAAAAGTCAAAAACTAAATATGTATAAGTTTTGACTAAAAATTATCTTCACTGCATTCAGGTAATTAGGATTTTCGTATACGAACATGCTACTTGTATTTTCTCAAAAGTGAAAAATGTACAGTAGTCAGTAATATGTTAAGTAGGTAAATATCTTGTTAGTTGTTACAATGTTACAATTTATTGTATTAACTTATATAGAAAAAGGAACATATCTACAATCTACATATGAAAAAGACTAACATTTGTAACGAATAATTATTTTATAAATGATAGGTAGTTATTATAGTGAGTCTTAGTCCTTAGACCGTAGTAGTTTACAAGTTTATAGTACAATTGTTAAGATATATACACAAATGAAAAACCTTCATAATTGACTGAAAAAAATTATTATTGTCAGCTGTAGACTGTACCTATACATCGTATTCGTATACGTTGTAATACATTTTACATATAGGTATAATGGCAATGGTAATGTACTCAGTGGTCGGGACGCTACTAGTTTCTTGTAGCGCGCTAAAACTACAGTTACTTCCCCGAAAAAGTAGCTTGCTGTCACTATCGCTATTGTTTAAATGTAGCCCGCTCCTTTTAAGCTACATTTTTTTTATGTAAAAATTAAAAATTGGAAACAGAATTCACTACTTACGTGAAGTCGTGGAATCTTGTTTTAAATTTTCAATCCTTAGATATAAAAGACAAAAGTTGAACATTTTATAAATTTTTAACTACAAAATAATTATTCAATTTTATATTTGATAAATTTTGTCAAAATTCGATCTTTAAATGCTTATAAAAAAAAATTGTGCCTATGTATTTTAAATATTTTTCAACTGATATTGTAACAATGTACCAGGAGCTGGAGCCTTGTATTAAATTTTTACACTTTTTGGCCCAACAGACAAAACTTAATTGATATTTATAGAAAAGAAAACTAAAAAAATTTTAAACTGAAAATGTCCTTAAACAGCTCAAAAAGAGTCAACATATTTTCAAAATGTATGGTGTATGGGAAATGCTAATATAAATATTCAGTGAAATTTTCATGTATCTACAGTTATTTGTTTTTGAATTACAACAAAATAAGTTTTGTATTAACTCCAAATAATTTGCTATTTTTCTTGGTTTTTTTTTACATTTTGTGAATTTTTGAACTTTAAATGCATATAAAAAGAAACTGTGACAAAGGATTTTTGATATTTTTCATCTACCTCTGAAACAATATACTTGGGGTCCTTCTATTAAATTTTCAAACTTTTTTAACCAACAAATAATATTTTATTAATAATTTTAGAAAAAAAACTAAAAAAAAAATCACATCATTGTAAAATCAATACATTCATCGTTTCACTCAGAATCTAAAATGTTTCAATAGTTTTAAAATTTGTTAAAAGTTAGACAATGGACATTCACCTGTCAATTAACAAATTCATATAAGATTTTCTTATTTTGTCGTTATTTAAAAACTATTAACCGTAGATATACCTACTTGAAATTTTCATCAAATATTTATTTTACTATTAAAGTCAATAAAATGTTATTCGTTGGTTCAAAAAGCTTGACAATTTAATACAAGGTTACTTATAAGTTATTATAATAGTAGTTGATAAATATTAAACATCCATAGGAACGAATTTTGTTATAAGTATTTAAAGTTCGAATTTTGACAATATTTATCAAAATCTCAAAAAGTTTCAAATTTACTGTAGTTAAAAAAATTTTAAATGTTCATTTTTTTTTAGCTAAGGATTGAAAATTTAAAACCCAAATATTTTCATAAATTGTCCATACTGTAACCAAAAATCTAAAAAATATATAAGCTCAGTTATTTTTTACTGACATCATAAGTTCAAATTTGGACAAAATTACATATTAATACAAAAAATTAATAAAAATAAAACATACATCATTGTAAAATCAATACATTTATCGCTCCGCTCAGAAACTAAAAAATCGTATATAAAAACACATTAGAGTATAAGCTTGTTCAAAATACTATATATAAAATACTCTATTAATATGTATCTCAATTTTTTTTTTAAAAATGTAATCTCAAAACCGTACTGGAGCTGTAAAAATGGTGGGTATAAGGTGTATAATACATAGGTATTTTAATATAAAATTTTTATAATGTATATTCTTTTTAACAGTGATCTGCGATAAGTTTTTTTAACCTTCAAAAATATTGCCATATACTTACACTAAAACCGTATAAACTATATAGTTTAAACATCATTCATTCATTGAAATTAACTAAATTAAGAAAATTTAAAATGTTTGAAAATGTTTTCATTGTAGCAAGGATATTAAGTATAATACATATTACATATAATACAATAATACCTACATAATTTATAAATTATAATATCTGCTACGTAGTCTGCAATTATTATTATAAAATTGTAAATGTAAAACGCTTGTATAGGAAATAGGTATAATATGTAATATTTTGTGTTTTTTCTATTTATAATAATGTATTATGATGTGCACCAATGTCCAATATTTGTTTTAAATATTCACCATTATATTTTTAAACAAATTATTCTGAATAATAATTATTAAAAGTAATAACATTTACTCAATTTTATTGTTCCCAGTAATTACTTCTGTATACAATTAGTTTATTCTGTGATATACAATAAGTAGTAACTATAGTAATAGTAACATATTAACAGTAATAACATATTGTTCCTTGTACATGATCCTTTGAAGTATATTATTGTAAAATTATTATGACCTTCAGAGACCAAAGTAGCTAAGTATACCTAGTATAGTAGTAGTAGTAGTAGTAGTAGTAGTAGTAAATAATATTATTATGATTATTCTCTATATATAACTCCGAGTGAACGTTTTCACTTCATTTACTGTTTACTCACCAATCAGTTCAGACACCTTCTTTATCAGCTTTACCTATTGGTTTCTAAGCTTTCAAGAGACAAATATGTGGCGCTTTGGCTTATGTTTAGTGAGAAATAATTTTGATATACCTAAACATTTTTCTTACTACGATAATTTTGGCTTATTGAAAAAAAAAATTGTACATTCTTTGCTTTACAGATATGTATCACGGTTGGCGTATCTGCACACAAATTAAACGTCGATCAAGCCATGGTAAATCATCAAGTGGTACCTGATGTAATACCCGTTGCTCCAAAAGAAATTATACAAGTAAATGAAAAAAAACCATACCTATCTATTAAGATAATTATCTTAAATCGGAAACAAAAATAAAAAATATGTTCTATAGGTAAATTATTCTAATGGCGAGAAAGCATTACTTGGCAATGAACTTACACCTACTAAGGTGAAAGACCAGCCGTCAGTTAGTTGGAATGCTGATCCTAATTCATTTTATACGCTATGTTTGATCGGTACGTATAGGATAATAATTTACATATACCTACATAGATATTTATAATTAATATTATTTTTTATTGTTGTACCTATACCCAGATCCTGATGCGCCAAGTCGTGCTGAACCTACAAGTAGAGAATGGCATCATTGGTTAGTAGGAAACATACCTGGTGGAAATGTGAGCCTGGGAGAAACACTTTCCGGATACGTAGGTTCTGGACCTCCACCAAAAACCGGTACTATAATAATATAATGGTTAATGTATCTATTGTAGAAAGATTTATCACTACCATGTATTAAATAACTATTAGGTACAATCATAAATATTAGAGTATATTTTATTAGATGATTCTATAATGTTCAATGTTCATGGTTTACAATTAGTGACTATCTTTGCTTATTATAGCTTCAGGATGGTATCATATAATGTCGATTTTTACTGAGCCATAATTTTATTGCTGGTAGTTGATCAGTCCCTTAAAGTTGGCATGTTTACTTTATAATAAAGAGTATCTTTATATTATATTATTACCTTTCTTTACCCGTTTTCATATGCTGTAGACTGTAGCACAAAACTATGAAATCAGACGTTATACATAAAAATTGTGCATTGTGGTTTGGCTGATAAAAATATACGAGTCTAAAACAGTAAAACTTATAAAGTTATAAACAAATTTTAGTTTTTATTTAAATAAATTCGTTATAGTTTTATTAGGTATGGCCTATTTTTATTACTGTTTTTGTTAGCTTACTCAATTATAATTAAAATAGTAAATAATGAATTAATTTATTCAAAATTAAATCAGCACTCACAACCAATAAAGCTTATTTAAATATCTACAGTCTACAGTTCACACTAAGCCAAAACTAAAAAAATCATAATATTTTCGTTGGTTTATATTGTTTAGTGTTTTATATTATGTACAATGTACCTATATTAAATATATGATACACCCAATGTAGGTACAGATTTTCTACTGTACGGCAGTGGCATATTTAGGTTTTTGTCATGGGGGAGGACATGATTTTATCCTTTAAAGTTAGAAACCTTAAGTTTGGACTCTGAAAACTTTTGCATATTATATTCAGCCTATGGGGAGGGGGATTGATCCCCTTGATCCTACAGCTCCATAAATACGCCACTGCTGTACGGTTGCATATTTTTAATTTTTATATTGCACTTTTGAGATTTTGTAGATACAAGTGATAGATATACATAGAAATAGCCTTTATCCTCCGGGTACAATTATTGAAAGATATAAAAATAACAGTTAATGATTTTCCAGGGTTACATCGATACGTGTTTTTAGTATTCAAGCAACCGTCAAAACTGTCATTCGATGAGCCGCGTATAAGCAATAAGTAATATATACATAATATTAATCATTAATATAATTGACTAGATATATGACTATACTCTATGTATAATATATATTATGCTAAAATCTTTCAATAAACCTAATGACAACGTGTGTTTTTAATTTTTATACTTAACCATTAAAACTTAAAAGTTTTAATAATTTCATGCATATTCTTTTATTTTTATATAGATCTGCCGAAAACCGTGACAAATTTTCAATCAATAAATTTGCATTGAAGTACAATTTAGGAACACCTGTGGCTGGTAATTTTTATCAAGCTCAGTACGATGATTATGTTCCAATTCTATACCAACAATTTGGAGTCAATTAATCTCATTTAAAGATTAAACAAAAATTAGTAACCCTATATTATTTAAATAATCGCAAAAAAAAAAAAAATGTTTATGTAGCAAATAATATTATTAAGCCGCTATTTGAGTTTTCAAGTCTACAGTATTCTACATCATAATATGTAAATTAATTGAATAAAAATCATTTTCTTTTATAAAATGTATGTTTTTTTCTTTACCATTTTAGGTATTTACGTATAATTTAAACTACACATATTATTTTACATTTTAAGACTGTCTGCTGAGCATGCTAGGCTTGCAAAACATCAGGTTACCTTATGTAATATAATATTATATTTATGTCATATTATGGGTCTGTATATCAGCGAACCTTCTATACGTATATATACGTATATATTATAATATACTATAATAGCCTATAGTTGCTTAGTGTTAGTAGATGTGTTTTTTTTTAAAGCTAGGTTATCTTTATTAGATAACCGTTATAACTTATAATTAATAAGTTACCTACTAACTAGGTACTTACTTCATAATATTAATTAATACCTATAGTTAATATTGTTAATTAATAATAAATATAAAATATATGAACTATAGATTCCAATGCGAAATGAATGCTGTTTTTGAGATGAGTTTATATTTTAATGAACATAAATTGTATTAACAATTCAATACAATGTCATATATTATGTTGACGTCTTATTCAAATATTATGGTTCCATTATTGATAATTTTATAGAAATCATGGATAAGTCAAATTAAATTTTACATTTTACATAAATGCAATGCATAATATATAGGCCAAGGTGTAGAGAAAATATTTTTATCTTATACTCTTCATCGGGATATAAGCATATATGTAATCGGGGAACGCAGAGTATGCCGGCAGTGTCATTACTGCTATTTAAGGAGGTGGCAGGGTGTATTTTGGTACCTACATCTATATTTTTTCTATTTTCTATTAGCTTGCCAGTTTCCATATAATTTACAAAGCATCGATTACCTATATACTTGCAAGTTACGTGAAATGTATTTTAATATTATGTAAATTGTAAATATTGAAATTGTTTTCTCCGTCACCGTTGGAGATGTTGGAATGGTACCTAATTAATGATACGGCTGTAGTGTAATAATTACTCATTATTAACTTAATGATAGCTCGCGCCTAGCTATCTGTCGACCGCGGGAGAATACCGAGAAACATTAAAATTAAAATAATAAAATAAATGATTCTGATATAATTATCATTGACTTTCACAGATTTATATGTAACAATGTAACGCGTGTATTAGATTATTATGTTATGTAAAATATATAGTATCCAAGTAACTCGTTTTTTAAATAAAATTGTTTACTGTCTACTGATAAATAATTAATTAGGTATAGGTAGATTGTAGATATATGAATAAAAACCGCTATAAGTGCATACAACTATAATACAAGTGTTTCCTTGTGGACATTGTAGTTATGACATGAGTTTTGAATGCGAATCTCAACAGAAATTCTAATCATTTGACTTGTATGATTGTATATTTGAATTAAATAAATATATGTTAAACTTTAAACATATTGGTTTACTTGTGTCTTCTATACAGTCTTTCAGTAATCCGTATGCACTGAAAAAGGTCTGGCGAGTGGCCACGTTTATGTCACGGACCAAGATATATCTTAGTCCGTGGTCTATGTATATTGTATATTGTGTAGTACCTAAATATTACATTTTTATTAATCAATAATCACCTATAAGTATAATTAGTGTAATATAATAGTTTATAATTTTTACGGTCTTCAACATTGATTACCTAGGTAATGAATTAATAAATAATGATAATGACAATACTATTTGTAGAATCTGATAAATTGTTAATAAGGTGAAATAGGTATAACGATTTAGTGATTCTGTTACAATAAATCTCTAACGAATATCCAAAACTTAGTATAATACCACCTGTGGCAATTACTCATTTTTAGTACCTATGTGCATAGTTGGTACCTAGTCAGATTATGCAAGTCGTTTGCATCGAGGTAATACAACTACAGCAGCAGTAGCCAGTAGGTACCTATTGAAAAGCTAAGTAAAATTTAAGTTATAAATAAATAGGTACCAACTTAGATTTATAATGGATTATGATACTATTCTGAGATTCCTAGACTGGAAACGTGGAAGCTGATTGCTGATATAGTAAGTATTGAAGAAACCATAGTCCATAGTATTCAGGTAGGTTTGTAGGTACTGAATAGGTATTAGATATATAGGCAGAATATGAGAGTTGCCAGTTGGTATATAATATTTTTAATTATATGTATTGAAATATCAAATAAATATAATATACATTGAGTTATCCCAGTTTTTTCATACAAAATGTCACCCCCGCTTTTCAAAGCTCTATATTATAATCGGATAGGTACTCATTGAGACCTTAAATCTTTTCGGAAGTAGGTTTAGGTTATATGTTATAACATAAATTGAGGCATTATACAAAGACATAATTATTATGTTTAAAACAATATAGGTTGGTATAAATGTATAATGGTATAGATAAATAGATATATCTTAGTCCTTGATATTTGACCATAATTTAATATTTTATCGAATCCTGAAGGTGTAGGTTTCGATAGTTCATATTGGATTGGGGCCGATTGAGGGGGGGGGGGGGTACTTTGAACATTCCTCAAAGGCTCAAAACTCAAAAGTACCAGTTGAAGTTGGTTAAGTACACTTTGAAAAATATACTTTAAAGTATGTTTTGAATGTTTTGATATTATGAATTATCATTTTTATGAAGTTTTTCGTGCACTTCTGTAGTTCTGTAAGACTGTAAATGTGCCTCACGCACCATCCTGTTGGCAGTAGATTCTCTACAACTAGTCTAGTGATGGGATTTATCGTTCCTTTATGTGAATCGTTTTTCTAGTTCCTATATAGTTCATAAAAGGATTGGGTCCGTTTCTTGGTTCTATTTATGGTATAAAGTCGGGTACCGAGTACAATTTATAGCACTAACCGGGTATCGAGTATTGGCCGAGTAAAAATTTTAACATTAACCGGGTATCGAGTATAGGCCGAGTAGAACTGTAAATACAAAATTTGTATTATACTACTATCAAAGTATCAAGTATCAAATTTATAAACATTAGACAGAAAACACTAGATTTATTTTTGTAATTTGTAGATGAAAAACATGATTTGCTTATCTGGCTATTGTAATTCGGTTCAGTTATTTCAATATGTACCAAAATAAATTATAATTTATCACCCTACAATTTTAGATTTTTCCCGTTATATTAATTATAGGTATGCATATATTTATAAATAGATTATCAGAGTTTGCCATTGGATATGAGTCGAGTTAAAATGAAGATATTACGCCGGTACCGAGTAAGAGTCGAGTCTTAAATATGATATCGAGTACCCGGCCATCGAGTAATTGCCGGGTACCCGGAACATCTCTAATATATATCTTAGTAGGTAGGTAGTTGGTGCTTTTATATAATCATCATTCTAATGAATAATGAATAATGAATAATGATAAGGAAAAATGGTATGGAACAATGGTATGAATAATGGTATGGAATGGGTAAATGAAATACGCTATCCGTTATCGTGCGGGTACGGTATACGTAGGGTTTCCAAGGTAGCTAAGTGCATAACAGGAATGATTCACGTCATATTTTATAGGCACGGATAAATAGTAAATAATTTTTATATAACATCTATTATATCTAAAAATATTGGAAAGAAATGTGGTGTATTTAACTATTTAAGTCTATAAATTGTACGATATTTAAACCGTGAAGACGTTTCGTTCGGCGTTCCCCGTTCGAAGGAAAAAAATTTGATTTTATTCTGTGATGGGACCAAAAGTAACGATCACACCGAAAAGTAACGATTAGGTGGACTCGTTTCGAATCGTCCCTCCACTGACTCGTACACAAACGACACATCACCTCATAATATTATACAGTTCAGCGTCCATCAGCGATCAGCCATTGCCCATCGCTTATCGCCCATCAGTGTTATCACTTGACACTTATCAGTTATCACTAATCACTATTGTAGAGTGTAGACAGCTGAAGTGAGAACTGAGAAGTTCCCATACTGAAATAATTATCTGAATTCATAAATAATAAATATTGTAAAATATACCATAAGTGATACATTGTTCTGTGGTGATACCAGTAAGGATACGGTAAGTTACAATATTATTTTCACTTGTATAGTTGTATTTAAAGTTTTAAATCTATTTTAATTTACCAGTACACGTATACAATTATAGTTTATAGATGGCATTGCTGATAAAATCCGCTATTAATTACTGTCACTTGACAACTCGAGCTAAACATTTGATCGTTCCACAGTTAACTGCTGCGTTCACTGCTCGTTCCCCTTACTCAACCAAATCATCCGTCGCAGCCATGCTTGAACACGAAGTCGTTCCCGACGTGATTGCCGTTGCTCCTAGCGACAAAATTCAAGTAAAATATTTATTCATTATTATTTCCTTAGAAATATTAGGGTGTCAATATGGGTATCTGTTGTTTGTTTACTCTCTATGGTTAGCACAACATTGCTAATTTGAGTTTAGCCATAGACAGAATTTTATAATATATTTCTATAATGTCTACAGGCTCTGCAGTTACCAATCTAGTGTTGATAGATTTAATATTAGGGCCGTTCTTACAATGTCTGGGTAAGTGTCGATTAACGCTGACCGGTTGATAACAGATTTTATTATCGGCGGAATTCCACTGGTTAAGTGTCTGTTAACTTTGACTGGCTATGGTAAGAACGGCCATCAGTGTCTTACTATCAAACGTGTTATAATTACTATACATATCTGTGGGTTGTAGGTAAATGGTTTTTTTTGTGATATTAAATTTTTCATGCAAGTCCTAGTTAGTATAACTTAATATTACAATTTTAAAATATTAATTTATCTCAGAAAAATATTAAAATTTCAACATAAAAAAATCCAACGACAAACACAGATAACCGATAATGTTCTTAACTGTAAGTTAGATAATAGGTCAACTCACTTTAATATAAAATATGATTGGTTCTGCTGATCATAAATTAAATTTGCTACCCATGTTGCTTGTGGGCCAGAGAAAACTTATAGTGCACTGACCTTAAATGGGTTTTTGAGTGTTCTTCAAACTTTATAGCTTAACAAGGGTTTTTATAATATTAAGAGATGGGTTTACAGTGGAATTTGTTTTACGCTAACAACACCTCCATCAGTTTTTGGTAAATTTACTTATTTCTCACATTCAAAAAAATGAATATTTTTTAAACAACAAAATTAAATTGTCCAACTACCAATCTAGTTATAAGTTATACCTTAGCCAATTTTCGAAATAAGTATTTTTATGTTGGAAAAATTTTAATAATTACTCACATAATTGACAATCTGCCTGTTTTATGACATATCTATAATAATTAATAGCAATACTATAACACATACTAAATATATTATGTTGAAAGTTTTCATTAACTTGTTAATTGGCTTAATAATTAATTTTAATAATGCTATGGTATCTGTTAAATGATAGTTAATAGATTATAATATATTATAATATATTACGAGAAAGGAATGTGTTATGTTATATTAGCATGTGTCAAAGGTTATGATTCATTTTGGATGTTTAGTGTCTGATAGTGCTGGTAGCTACTCACTTTCTCACCTTTCGTCACTTTTTTTTTTTTTTAATCACTTTTGTTTACTTTTTCATAATTATGGTATCTTTTCTCACTTTTTTGAGATTTTTTAATAAGATTCTAAATCTATTGACTTGGCTCATCAGTTGATTGAACCTAGCGGCGTTCGGGCATAGAATATATTATATTTAAACAACATTTATATATATAAATTATATTCTATGGTTCGGGTTAGTAACTGCTGTAAATTGTAATGCGTGTGAAAGTGTTTACACCTTATTATTTATTAATCCGGTAGACATTTTTTCTGCCAACAAAATTCTGAATATGAAATATATGATAGTATATCTTAATTCATGGTCATGACGACTATAACCTAGGCCTATGGGTACAAAAAGAAATTGTGTTACCTTCTATGCTATAAGGATTAGTTAGATTGTTAATATTTTAATACCTAAAGATTTATACCAATTTGTTGTCAATTTATATGTTGACTAAAAAGAAATGTTATTTATGTTACAATAACATTTGTTAAAATTAAATTAAATTTTAATGTATCATAATTTTTTGATAAATTTTGATTTAACGCAAAATACATGCTTTAGTTTATATTTTAAAAAGGTATGGTAATAAGTGGAGCCCGGAATTATATGCATTTACATATTTGTACTGAGTGTATGCACGTCTAGGGGGTTCTAAAAGGTCCACATGTTCATCTCGCATTGTATTTAAATTTTAATAGAAAAATACTGTAATACCTTGAACACCTGAATGCATTGTCTCTGACTTACAAACGCATGATATAGCAAATTGTATGTTCTGAATAATCAATTTATCTCTGTTGTATTTAATATTAGAGTGAATTGACCCATCATACATTTTAGATCATGAATATTATATAGTGGATTTTATAGTTTTTTGTTTTAAATTATTTTCACAATTTGCTATGTTTTGAAAGAAGGAGACAATACATTTTCCCAATTTTACACAAATTTCTTTCTATACATGATTGTTAATATGTGGGGTCCATTATGATATGTGATAAGTAAAGACCGGATTTATATGTTTTTACATATCGTTACTGGGTCTATGCAGTCTTATGAGAGTAAAAAATGTGGACGATTCGTTCAATTCTGAATGCGTAGAAAAAAGTTTTTTTTGCATATTTGAGAATATTTCATGGGTTGGAGAATATTCAACCAATTTAGCATATTTTGGAATATTTCGTAAATTGTGAGCAAAAATTTGTATTTATTTTTAATTTTAATATTACGGTACTCTGAAAAATTTTTTTTGACCATTTACAATTTTTTTATTTTTTTTTTTCATTTTGATAAAAATAAAACAATCAGTATTATCAAGGTTTATCTATGTATATCTACTGATAAGATCAACTTATAAGTTTATCCACAGATATATACAATATATAATTATTGTATATATCTGTGAGTTTATCAAATATTCAAATATCAAAATTTTGTTTTTGTGTTTTAATATTATACTGTTATATTTATATTATATTCCAACTTCCTACTCTTGCTAAAATGCAATACTATTCCATTAGGTATAATACACAACTCTTAATACCTAATTAATATCTCACCATAAAAATATAGTTGAAAAAAAATTTTAAAAAATAAATGCATATTAAAGCATATAATGATGTTTTTTGATTATTTTTGCATATTTTAGCATATTTTTTAAATTTTTGAGAGAATATAATGAGAATATTTGAAGGGTTTTTAGAGAATATTAGCATCATATTTTGGGTATTTTAAGAGAATATAAATCCGGTCTTTAGTGATAAGTATATATTATAAAATGAGATAAATAAAGTGAACCATGTATTGTGTCTTAAATAATAAAGCCAAAATATAAAAATACAATGTAATTCATAAATAACCTATCTCACTTAACATTATATTAATATATATATTTTAATATCATAGGTATCATACCCAAATGGAGTTATTGTTGATATGGGTAACGAGCTTACCCCTACTCAAGTAAAAGATGAACCATCAGTAACTTGGTCTGCTGATCCAAATGCTTTGTATACTCTTTGTATGACAGGTAATGCATAAATGATATCTATATGGTCCACCAACTATATCATATTAATCAGTGGCGTAGCTTATGCGTGTGCTGTGTATTCACAGCATGCACTTCACAAAATGAAATAATATTTTTTATATATTAATAATGCTATATTTTTATAAAAATGTTTTAAATTTCATTGTACTAATTTAGTGTTTCGTAATATAATATTTTGTGGATTTTCTTCCAAGTTCATTAATCATTATTCATTAGGATTGATTAATCCGTAATACCATGGCCACGGCGCGCTATAGTTCTTATAATTTATATCTAGTGGCTAGTACCTCAGTACCTTGTTTATTATGTAAGCAGTATGCAAGTAGGCGAATGCATACGGGTACACACTTTCAGCGACTGCAGTTATTTACAGTTCTTATCGATAATATTAATAATAAAACACAGGACGCTTGTGGTCGTGTATTCATCACTCGTGTATGCGGTATCAGTATTGCTACGCTATCGTTAACAGTCTATTATAAGTTTTAATGTGCATTCATTTTTAGGGTTCCGTACGTTTCCCTACGGAAGCCTATTACTTTCGCTCGGCTGTTCGTCCGTACGTCCGTCTGTCGCCAGGCTGTATCTCATGAACCATGAAAGTTAGAAAGTTGAAATTTTCACAGATTATGTATTTCCGTGGATGCTATAACAACAAATACTAAAAAAAGGGATAGGAGCAACCCCGGGGGGTGCTAAAACGGGAATTTTGAGATTTCAGATGGAAATTTTTGTTTATAAATAGTTACCACGAGTGAAGTCATATTGTTAATAAATGGTTGCCATGAGTGACGTCGTATACAAAGATTCGTTTTATAAATTTCAATACAGAATTATAGTCAATCGTTAAGTTACAAAATTATACAGTCCACTGTTATTTTCCTCTCCGGAACAAGTACCTACTGTTGAGGAGAAACTGCTGAAATTCAGATAACAGATATATTCGACATCACCGAGACTGCTATTCGTAGTAGGTACAACTGTTACACTTGATATCCGACTGTTTACAGTCAAGCGAAAGTTGATTTTAACGCAATAGCGTTAATACTAATAAAATAAGTACCTATACATTGAGAAGGTAATTTTATAAATTAATTTATCTTATAAATTTAAGTATATTTATCTATATACGAAAACAAAATCATATTATCAATTTAATTAATAATCATTTTTCTTATATTTGTTATTTACCTATATAAATTTAAATACAAAATACATTACATAAATAAATAAGAGATGAAAATATTGAATGGCCTGGAGGAAATTTATTAACCTGGCCTGAATTTTTTTCCCTCCCCGCAAATGACAACAGACATTAGATAATGGTACGGAACCCTTCGTTTGTGAGTCCGACTCGCACTTGGCCAGCTTTTTTAAAAAGTGATTTACTTTTTATTTATTAAATATAATATTTTGTTATGTACTAAGTAATTTTAATATATATTAATGAATACTTAAAACTTTGTATGTTTAAAGTACAATTTTAAAAATAGTATAGGGGGTGTGGGGGGCATTGCAATCGATTCCATTAACTTACTATTTCAACACATACGCTAAGCTGAAACCCACGCTACGCCACTGATATTAACATAAACACAGTTTATTGAGAGGTTGTAAAAATTTAGTATATTTATTTGTATATATAAATGTACACAGTATCTAAGGTATAATAGTTCACGGGTGATATAATAAATGCACAGTATAAAATATTAAAAATGTTCAAATTGATAATTTTTGTCTTAGATCCTGATGCCCCAAGTCGTAAGGAGCACACATATAGAGAATGGCATCATTGGCTAGTTGGAAATATCCCTGGTAATGATATTACTAAGGGTGAGACACTTTCCGAATATGTAGGCTCTGGACCACCACCTGAGACAGGTAAAATGAAAAATAAATATTTAAATTGTTATATAATATAATGATTATATTATTTTGGTTTTAGGACTTCACCGATATGTATTCTTAGCTTACAAACAACCATCAAAGTTGAATTTTGATGAACCTCGTTTAACTAACAGGTAGTGTATATTATAATTATTACTTAAACAGCAATACGCTAATACATATATCTATATAATCTTGTTATCTCTTAAATATTAAAAAAAATAGATCAGCAGAAAAGCGGGAAAAATTTTCTATTGCCAAATTTGCGCTTAAGTACAATTTGGGAAATCCAGTTGCCGGAAACTTCTATCAAGCTCAATATGATGATTATGTGCCATTGCTATACAAACAGCTTGGTGCTTAAGCCATTATATAAATATATATTCTACTCAGTGCTCACTGCTCACATGTATAATCAAATATTACTAAATGTTGAAATTGAAAACAATTATTATTGTATGTAATAAAATGTATCTCTAAGATTAGAATCAATTTTGGATGTGGTTATAAATATTAAAATAAAATAGATATTTTTCATTGCAGATTTTTTTGTAATCACATATTTATGTTAAGTAAATTATTTAATCTCCTGGAATAAATGTTGATATGGGTAGTTAATAAGGTTGCCACCTTTGAAAGATAGCAGCCCCGGAGACAGGCCAATAAGCAAAAAACAACGATTTTCAAAAAACGATGACACTGACACAAAAACTAAACGCAGACATTCGGATTATAAGTCATATATTATAAGACTATTAATCGTATTTTATCTTATCTTTTGGCGTAAGAAAATCAATGTTCTTGTTACTTATTGATAAACTATTTATAATTATATAAAAATGTAATGACCCGGAGAATAATTCACTGAACCCGTAGCCCATAGATTTATATGTAAACCCATAGAGGTGGCAACCCTAGTAGTTAATCTAAGTTCTAACTCAACTTACCTTAGATATATATCTTAGTAAAACACAGCTATCAGTAGCCTTGTCTGAATACTATTATAATATTTAGGTACCATCCTATATCTACTTTATGTATATTGTAAAATATACTTCCTTCATTTTAATCTAAAACTGTTTGTATTAACGGTATTTATCTTACATTTAATATTTTTTTACTTATAATATTAAATAATTATTAAAAATTGTAATTTATCATATTTAAAAAAAAATGTTTATATTATAAAAATTGCAGTTTACAATATGAATGGCTTTTGCCATGATACCAATGAATATTCTCTAAAAACAGAAGTGGTCAACCTTATAAAATTCTGATCCACTGAGTTTTTCTAGTGTCACTTTGTGTGTGGTTGGTTAAATTTCTCTAATAACTAAGGACAAGACTATTCATTTATATGAACTTGAAATTATTATATTTTATAATAATTATATTACACATGACACACCGTATTAGATAAATACAATTTTTATACACTTTTATACCTTTTCTTCTCTCATCATCATCGCAATTATGATATTTATATTATAAACATAATGTAGGTGTAATTGTATAATTATCTACCACACCCTAGTTAAATTGCCTACCAGAAAGGTAAATAATCAAAGCATTTTTACTACTCCAAATGGTCACGACGGACAGAAAAAAAACATATCAATACATCATAGTATTATGTCATTTGTGTATAGGTACCTAACAATACATTTCGATACATCGAATATTTGAATCTAAGAAAATCATGATTTCAAAGCCTTTTAAATTTGGTATAAGCTTGGTAAAAATACTATCTAATACATACTCTGCTAATATATTATATCTAATTTTTTTCTGTAAAAATGTAATCCCAAAATCATATTAGGACTGTACAAAATGATGGGAATAATTTTAATTTGTAAAATGTTTATTTTTTTGAGCAGTTATAAATAAATTTTAATACATAATACAATTATACCTAAATTAATGTATTAGGATATTTTATTAGATATATCTGCCATGCAATCTGAAAAATTACCTATTATCTACTATAAAATTGTTGCTAAATAGAAAACGTGTATGAAATATTAGGTTGTTTTTGCATTTATTATAATAATGTTTTATGATGTGCACCAATATATTTTGTTTCAAACTTATTTTTCCATTAAATGTTTAACCGTATTATTAAAAATAATGATAGATAATAAGTACCTAGCTATTAATAACATATTGTTTAATCTTATTGGCCCTGGTTATTATGTTAACATGTTGTATATTACCTTTATTGTAATAATAATTAATAACTAAAAAATATGTTCCATGCAGGTAAATAATCCTTTGAAGTTTGAAGTATATTATTGTAAAATTATTATGACCTTCAATCAAAGTAGTAGGTAGGTACTATAGGTACCCAAATACCCAATGGACAATACCAACTAGGAGTGTATTAATAGTATTATGATTAAGATTAAGTCCAAGTGAATGTTTTGAATTCATTAATTCTTTGATGACCAACTAGTTCAGACTCTTCAGATTTACCTATTGCTTCTTAATTTTTAAGAGATAATGACGTGGTGCTTTAGCTTGTATTTAGTAAGGAATTATTTTGATACACCAAAACATTTTTTTTCCACAATTCTTTCGCTTAATTAAAAGAAAAATGTACACTAGGTACAGATATGCATTACAATCGGCGTATCTGCACACAAATGCAATGTCAATCAAGCTATGAAAAACCAACAAGTGGTACCTGATGTCATTCCCGTTGCTCCAAAAGAAATTCTTCAAGTAGGTACCTAAATAAATAAATAATATACCTATCCATTAGGTAACAAGTTTTCTTAAATCCGAAACAAAATTAAAAATATATTATAGGTAAATTATATTAGTGGTGCGAAAGCTTTACTTGGAAATGAACTTACACCCACTAATGTGAAAGACCAGCCGTCAGTTAGTTGGAATGCTGATTCTAATTCATTTTATACACTATGTTTGACCGGTAAGTACAGTATAATTTTAACAAATAGGTTGCAGGTATTTAAATTTAATATAATTGTTTTTATTGTTATACCCACTCAGAGCCTGATGATCCGAGTCGTGCTGAGCCTACACAAAGGGAATGGCATCATTGGCTGGTAGGAAACATACCCGGTGGAAATGTGAGCCTGGGAGAAACGCTTTCCGGATACATAGGTTCTGGACCTCCACCAAATATCGGTAGGTACTATAGGTAGTAGGCAGTGCCGGATTTAGCGGGAGTGCAGGGGGTGCATTGCACCGGGGCCTCAAGACCAAGGTTGTATTAGGGGCCTAAGGTTAAAGTCCTAAATTTTCTAACTTTCTATAACTTTTTATTATAAAATGAACAAATTTTATTATTTTAAGATGTTACTGACAAGTGACAACCATTTATTTTGGACGGTTTGAATTTTAGATACGTAATACTATTTATCATTGTTATTGTTTGTTTTACATATTTATTTATATACACATTAATTATATTATATAGTACTTATGCATCGTATACTATTTTCGTATAATCGTACTATTTATTCAATCTCAGAGGCTCGTGAACTCGCGCTAGTGCAGTATCTTGCTGGACAAACTAATAATGTAACCGTGGTTATATGTATTTATTGTTTAATATATGTAAATGGATTATGATTTACGGACATGCCTTTGCCTTGATGCAGCGTTATTGGTTTCAGATATGTTATTTTATACTTTTGTCAGTTTTATTTTTGCGTACCTACTCTATTATATTAATTTTTCATTTGATTATTAAAAATAAAAATTAGGTACCTACCTACACTATCTTTTATTGACTTTTGAAAAAAAAACATGTCTAACAGACAATTTGAAAGTGTTGCCTCTAAAAGACGGAAAAAAATGTTCAAAACAATGAATTAAAAAAATATAAAGGATTGATGAATAATTTTGTATTCAATTCAGGTAACTGAGGTACCTGATTCATATTTGGGTCCTTTCATTTTAGAACAATAGAGAGAATATACAGCCAATATCATATTAATGATATGTATTCTTAATTTATATTATACTAGCATAGAAGCATACATTAAAGATTAATACATCATAATATCTAAGCGTGGTATAATAGATATGAGAACAGTGAGTGAATGTATAATTTCATAATTTACCTATTAAATTATGGAATTTAAATGTTGTGTTTTTTAGTTTGTTTAATATATCAATACGACAAAACGTATCAAATAAATAGATAAGTGTAAAGTCGAGAAAATTTTTTTTTAAGGGGCCTCCATTGGTAGTTGCACCCCGGCCCCCTGAGACTTAGATCCGGCACTGGTAGTAGGTACCTACTATAATGATTAATGTCGGTTTATTTAAAGATAAAAATAACAACTAACGATTTTGCAGGGTTAAATCGTTATGTGTTTTTAGTATACCAACAACCGTCTAAACTGTCATTCGACGAACCGCGTTTAAGCAATAGGTAATATACGTAAAATATAAATTATCAAACATTAATATACTATATTTAGGAAGGTACTAGTATACTAAATTATTATTTTAGATATTTCGTCTATAGTCTATACAGCATTATAGCTATATTTGTATATAATATATTATATTGTGCTCAAACCATTCAATAAATCTATAACATGTATTTAAAATAATATGTAGATACACTTATAGTTATAACTATTAAAAGTTTTAATAATTTCATGCATATTCTATTTATATAGGTCTGTCGAACATCGTAACAAATTTTCAATCAATAGATTTGCGTTGAAGTACAATCTAGGAACACCTGTGGCTGGTAATTTTTATCTAGCTCAATACGATGATTATGTTCCAATATTATACCAACTATTAGGAATAAATTAATTTAATTTCAAGTTAAATCAAAACTAACCTATAGTAAGTCTGTATTTAAAAATGATTCCAAATTATTGTTTATGTAGAAAATATTATTTAAGTGGCTATTTGATTTTTTAAGTTTGCATTTTTTTTGTATAATAATTATATGTTACCTAGTTGGTAAAATAAAAATAATTTTATTTAAAAAAATGTAGGATATAGATACCTATACCTATGTTCTTTCTACTTCACTATTGTGTTTACGAATAAACTACATTATTAATACTATTTTTGTGATGAAAGTGTTCAATATATACAAATTACAGAACATTAAGAGGACGCTACCCCATAGGCGCAATTTAAACTTTTGACTTGGGGGGGGGGTTGAATATATTAAAAACAAGCAGACCATTGCAATATAGCATATTAAGGTTTTTTGACTACTTACTAGGTTTTTTGGGGGCTTAGCACCCTCCCCACACACACACACACACACACTTCAATTTGCGCCTATGCGCTACCCATACATTTGTTGTCTCCGTCTTACACACGCACGACATAGCAAATTGTTGTTCACTAGTTTCAATAGTATGCTGTTATGAATTTATGATACTAGAATGAATTGAGCTATTATAACACTTTTAGGAAGGAACATTATCTGTGCTTAAGCGTTTCGGATTTTTCGAAATTTTCATTTTAAATCAAGATATGGCTATGTCTATGTGAAATATCAAAAATTAATAAGGCTCATATCTCGCTTGAAAATTAAATAAAAGCCAACGCTTAAGAATAGATAATGTTATTATCTAAAAAATGTATAATAGGTCAAATCACTCTAATATCAAAACTAACAGCGCACTATTGAAACTAGTGAACGAAAATTTGGTATGTCGTAGGTACGTGTGTAAGACGGAGACAATAAATACATGGGTAGCTTCCTCTTAAATAAGTAAAAATTACAAAATGTCTTATGAATAAATGTCTATTGCATGGTGATATTGTTGGCATAATGGCATTGGCATTGAATATGTGCATCATGCGTGTCACAACCCATGGGCATAATTTTATTGTGCAATTTGATTTATTAGGTAGGTACTAGATAGTATTTATTTATTTTGAATTGATATTATATGATCTTGAAGATTAATTTATCTTGAGGGGCATGAGTTTTTTCGGTTGTGAGTAGGGGGTAAGTCCTTACTAATACGTAATAATATATTGAGTCGCTAACCGTAAGAATTCTTTTTCTAGTTCAACAACATAGATTCAAATTAATTAAATACCAATTACCCATCAAATTATACGATGAATGATGATATATAATTATTATATTTCTTACTAAATAATATTCTCGTCTACTCCCGTCTCCCAATACCCATTATATATTGTGTACTACAATGTTTTTAAATATATGGGTATACTGTTCCTTTCTATACCCTGTTCAAAATAAGAAGCGACCTGATTTACGCTTGAAAACCGGTTTTACTAGTGGCCGCTGAATCGCTTCTTAAAATGAACAGACTATATGTATAGTTATCAATATGGTTGAACTTTGACTTACCACTTACGCTTATTTAATAATAGGATCAATTCTACTATTGTATTTGTCGATAAAAATTGATATATATTTAACGTTGTGAACATTAAATAGTTCTGGTGTGAAAGATAAAATGTATGCATACTATATTAATATATATTATTACTAAATAATATTAATCATGCAGTCATGTTTACAAAGCAACCAACGTCGTTCGATTGAAAAATTAATTCGTCCATGTATTGTGCTTATATCTATTGTTCAATAGTATATAAAGAGATCGACTATCGAACATAATATATAGGAATGTCGCTGTTCAAACTGAACTGTAAACTGACGTTTTTCAAACTACGATTACCTGGTGAGTGTCACAGGAACACCGTGTTATAGTATAATTTCTGTTATAATATCCATTGGCATATTATGATAGTATGATACCGACATACCGTATAAAATAATACATCACTAATATGTATTTCGATGACTAGCGGACACGTGTTGCATGTAGATACATACTATATTATGATCTCTTGTAACCGATTTTTTTTTTAGCACGATCGTACGGAAGCGATGTGAGAAAAACTAGGTTGCACGAGTTTCACGTCCGACACGGAGGTAAAATGGTGCCGTTCGCTGGCTACATGATGCCGGTAAAATACGCTGACAGCATAGCGTCCTCGCACCTGCACACTCGCCGGCAGTGTTCTCTGTTCGACGTGTCGCACATGTTGCAGACGAAAATTCACGGTAAACACAGAGTTCAGTTCATGGAACGGATTTGTGTTACGGACGTACAGAGTGAGTATACCTACGGAAAAATAAAAACTTCTTCCCTACCTAGGTCCCATATAGATATCGAATCGGCAAAACATAATATGCGCGCACCTCTATCGTTGACGGAAATCGCCAATCGGGGGCTGGGGTGGCTTAGCCCCCCCTAAAAAAAGTCCGCCAAGCCACCTCCTTCTTTAGTTGTGTGGGATCGAGGTCCCTTGCTCACATTGATGTTAAAAATGTTAGCCCCCCTGACATTTTAATGGAATTCCGCCTATGACCTGTAGCACCAATATTTACATGTATCATATTATTGTAGTCATAACGATTAGGTCCAAGCGACGATTGCCCACAATGTGATTATAACAAATAATAATATAATTTGCATCAATGCGCCATCTGTCGTATAGATCTGGGAACGGGAAAAAGCGCGCTGAGCTTGTTCATCGATGATCGGACGGGTGGAATACTGGACGATTTGATCATAACCAAAACCGATGGGGATTTTTTGTACATGGTGACTAACGCCGGTTGCAAAGAACAGGACATGCGAATGTTAACTGAGCAATTAGTGAGTATCATACTATCAAACATCTTGCAAAATATATTATGAATTAATTATTATATTGTAAAACAAACTGAGTAAGTAGGTACACATATCACATTTGAGTCTAGTGAAAACCATTATAGGTACGCAGTACCAAGTAGGTAACTAAAGTTTCAAGTCTCTACGAACTTTCATTTTAATTTCCGGTAAAAAAATCAATATGAGGAATCCTGTACCTATTACATTTTCAAGCCTTAGGTGTTAAAACTCAAAGCTTTACAAATTGTAATTTCAAAATTTACTTATTTTCACGATTTGGGCAAAATTCGTAACAATTTAAACTTTAAACTCTTAAAAAAAGTTGTGACCTAAATTTTCGGCTAGGTTCGATTTCCACTAGTCTTCTCCAAATTTTGCCTCTACCGAAATTCTCCGCTTCTCTCTCGTAAACACTTTCGATTATCACCATCTCATGGTTGGTCATTCTTTCAGTCCGTTTTCAAATCGAGGGGTCACGACGTGAGCTTGGAGTTTTTGGACAGTGACGCACAGTCACTTCTGGCCCTGCAAGGCCCTCGCTCTGCGGCCGTATTGCAATCGTTCGTCGACGGGTCCACCGACCTGTCAGCGCTGTACTTCATGGACTCGACCACGGCCACGGTCTGCGGTGTGCCGGACTGCCGTGTCACCCGGTGTGGTTACACGGGCGAAGACGGTTTCGAAATATCTGTGCCCTCCGATCGGGTCGAGGCGATCGCCGAGTCGTTCGTCGCACAGGACGACGTGAAATTGGCCGGGCTGGGCGCCAGGGACACTCTGAGGCACTGTAATCGACCGACTTTATCCGTTTTATTTTATTATAATCATTATTGTTCTCATCATCATCATCACCACGCCACAATCATATAATTATTATATAATAATATCATGTATATTATGATTCGATTTCCTTTTACAGGTTGGAAGCTGGTATGTGTTTGCACGGCTCGGATATAAGCACCGAAACGACGCCGGTCGAAGCTGCGTTGATGTGGACCATAAGTATAAATATTATATATATAAACCATACATTATTTCTACCCTTCGTTTATTGTCTTCCCTTCCAATATCGTCGCGTCTTAGGACGTTGCACTGCAAAGTGTGTTACTTATATTTTATGTCTCGTTTCCACAACGAAGAATTTTCGATATTTATTTTCTCTCAGGCCGTAAGAGAAGGGACGAATGTCGATTTCCCGGCGCTGCTGTGATTCTGAAACAACTCAGCGACGGTGCGCAACGTAAGAGGGTCGGTCTCGTTCAAAAAGCGCATGGAGCTCCGGTCAGGGGTGGAGCAGTATTATTTAACGTAGTGGATGGCTCAAAAATCGGTTCGGTGACTAGCGGATGTCCGTCCCCGACGTTATCCCAGAACATAGCCATGGGCTACGTTGATAGTAAATTTTCCAAAAACGGAACGGAAATACAAGCGGAGGTCAGAGGACAGAAGATACCAATGGTCGTCACAAAAATGCCATTTGTGAAACCAAACTATTATTCCAAACCAAAATAATAAACAATTTAATATATTCTAATTTAATATATAATTTACAATAATATATATTAGATAATTATCCATCATAGACCACTAAGTTGACGTCGACGTTGACATTGAGGGAAAATTTGATCTAAAAAAATTTAATAAACAAATATAATGGATAATAAACGTACCTTTTGATTGCATTATAAAATATTTGATATTTCTCATACTTTTTATTCTTCCTGGTTTTGTGCATTCGTTTTTTTTTGGAAATCAAACATTTTGGTTTTGAATTATCTATTATTCGTTTCAATTTTCCATTTTTCTTATAAAGTTTACTGCAGTGATGTTTGAGCTCGTTGATTTTCTGTTTAAATCCTCCAATCATATTGTGCATCTCTACTCTCCACCTATAATTTTGTATTGTTAACATTTAGTTTGAAGTTTTTATATTATTATTATTGATATTAATTAATAATAATTATAGGTTAGTACCTAGGTATGTATTAATAGTCAAAAAATGACTACATGTGACTTCCATTATTCCTTAAAATAAATTATAGTTATTTTACTAAATGTAGCTACCTACATAGCCTAGGTACCTCTCAAAAATCTTTTCATTAAAATGTTAATATAAATTATCTTACATCTCCACCATTTGTTTTTGTGCTTCTACGTGTCTTGTAAGTTCGTTAATTTGCATTTCTTTTTGTTCAAAATTGTCTTCTGGCCGTTGTCTATAAAAATAATGTTTTCATTTAATAATATATTATTGATTTCTTATCATAGATACATGTATAATATTTTTGAACATGAAACATGGAAGGCGTTAATTCTCTTATAGCCCTACCCATCAAAATATGACTTTACATGAGTTATAGTTAAAATAATTGATGAATAATAATCAATTTTTAAATTTATGTATATAAATTTCGATTTTAAACATTCTTTAAATCACGATTCGTGAAATTGTAGTGGGATATATTTTAAATATTGTTCACATAAGACCAACGTTAAATTATATACATATTTACTAAGTATACCTACACATAATATAACATAAAAAAATGTTATTATATATTTTTACTATATTGAGTAATAATTTACTTAGTTATTATATAATTATTCTTACAATTTACTAATTTCCAATTCCAATTTTTTTATTCTATCTGATGATTCCAAAATGATCCCATTGTTTTCAGATATTTCATGTATTGCTATGTTTAAATGGTTTTCTAGTGATTTAGTTGTATCCTTTAAAAATGCTATTTCCATTACATATTTAGTTTTTTTTCTCGCATAACTGTAAATATTAACAAGGCGTGATTATGTAAAAACAATATTTCTTATACATTTGAACGAATTTAGTTTTCAGAATTACCTAGTTGTAAGCTATTAAAATCTATTAAATTTAGTAAAAATATACAATTATAAGACCTATACTACCTACGTAAATCTATTTCTGGTTCAAATTATGGGATAGGAAATCTAAATTTGATAAATAGAATTAATATCGGATCTAAATATTAAATTTGTATACGCTTTCGTAAATATTGATAATATTATAATATTTTATAATTAATATTAAACAACTAATATTGATACTATATGTGTAATATTATATACGTATCACTGTGTCAGTCTCGGTGTCAGTATTGTATCCTGCAGACATGCATACCTATTTATTTATTTTTTTGTCGAGAGAATATTTAATATGGATTACAAGTACCTATGTAATTTAATTTTAACTGGTTTTTTAAGCTGGTTTAAAAATCATACAATTTACTACTGAATACTTTAGATGGTAAAAACTAACAAACAAATTAGTGAAGTAAAATGACTAAAGTTTATAAAATGTTCAGAAATATAAAAAAAAAAAAGGTTTTAAGGGCGGGGAACTGATTACGGTAGATACTGGTAGATAAGAATAGTTTGAGCTATGGTTAAAATGATTTTCAGGTTGCCATACCAAATTAACGGTGTTCATTAAAACAATAAATTTTGTGTTAAATCAATAATATTAGTTAAATCATTTTTAATTTTAGAGTTATTTCGCATAATTAGGGCCGATTTCACCAACACAATCACGGTTAAATATCGATTACGCTTAATCGTCCGATAACAGATATTTAACCGGCCAAATTCGGCCGATTAAACTCCGGTTAACTTTAACCGTGATTAACTGTGATGGTGAAATCGGTCCTAAGAATGACAAGAATATTACTGTTGTAGATTAATTTTTAAATTGTAATAATATAATACATTTCTTGGACATATTATTATATTTTACACTCATTTTGTTCATACCTCTCTTGAAGTTGCCTATTTGTTTCTTTTAGAACTTCGACATCTACTATTAAATTGTTGAATGTGTCTTCGTACTCTTTGATTTGTTGGGCAAGCATTGTCACTTTCTTTGCATATACATCTGGTTCATTCACACACTTCTGATTGATAGATGTGTATTTCTTATTTATAGTTTCATACTCTTTTGATATTTGTTGGGTTTTATTAAACATGATCTGCTTTTCCTGGAATTCATATAACATTTTAGGTCATCCCGCTAATTCAAAAATATTTAAAATGTGAGGACAACGAAAAATTTCGACATTGTACATTTTGACTTTATTTGATGCATAGATTTTGTTAATTTAATTAAATAGAACATTTTTTTTGAATGAAGTATTTAGGTAATAGGTATAATGTATATTTTATAATACACACCGTGCGTAGAAACTCGATTTCGACATTAGCCTCGCGTAATTTGTCTTTGTACATGGTTTTCACTTTCTCCACTTCCAAATTGACTTTTGTACCTGCTTCTTGTATTAAATTTGTTAGCTCATTTTCCAATTTGACTATTTTTTCTAAAATTCAAGTGATTGAAATATTATTTATTACGAAACATGCATTTTAAAATTTAACGAATTATAATAACCATTTGATTTTTTTAAATCCATCACAAGTTTATCTTTTTCTGAGTAAGTTTTTTCTATCATTTTGAGCGCTTCATTAACATTATATCTGGCGACTTCCACGTCCGTTTGATATTTATAAACAACTTCGTGGCATGATTCTAGTGCAACTTCTAATTGCTTACGAACTAATAATATTAATTAGTATATCATTCCGAAATTATACCAGTTATGTTAATTCTTATGAATTGTAATACACGTAAAAATGTTTTTATTGAAATCATAATAGGTAGGTACCTATTAGTACCTACCTACTTGTTTTCTGTATTTTTTACAGTCATTATAAGAAAGTTTATAGAGATCTTATTGAAATTATTAATTAATATTATTTTCGTATAATATGTATGACATGTGTACATAATTACATAATAGTATAAAAGTAAAATTAATATTAACACTAATGTCATTAAAAAAATGTATTAAAACGGTTTTGTTTAAAAACGATGGAGTAGGTATATAAAACTAAACTTTACCACGATTCGATTTATCTATTGCTTGTTTAAGACGTGAGTTTTCATTTTCAATCATTTTAATTCTTGATATTTCCATCTGATAACCTAAAATAATGTCATCTAAGTATTTTGAATAATATACATATTTAATATAATTTATATATCCTTAGGCTTAGATAAACTATTAAGAAGATTAAAAAAATACCCATTCTAAATACCAGTGGCGTGTTTACTATTTTTTTGTTGTAGAAGAGGGCTGTAATTTTAAGAAATTATTTTATAAGCATTTAAAAAATGGTAAAAAATAAATTAATGATTACCGCACGACTATAAACACACAACGCACCAAGTAAAATTATCCGTACCTATGACCTAACGTCGTATACCAATGACTTACGAGAATACTTCCAAAAACAACATAGCTTCTATAACTATTTTATGAAAATTGTGTAAATTATCATAATTTTTAATTTTTTCAACATACACTATGTACTTAGTGAATAGTGATACAAAATATTCAGGGGAATCCCTTCTTCGAAAAAAAATAATTGACCAACAATTTTTTACGTTTTTTCAGTGCCCTTATGAATGTATTTGAGCAAGGTGGTATCATTCAATTTTCAATGTTGAATACTAAGAACTGGAATTCAAAAAAGTTTATCCATGAGCTGACGAGACTGTTGCTTGACATTTGGATATGTATGTTAAGTGTTTTTGATTTTTGCGGTGGTACCTATATCTAGGCTAAAAAGTTTACAAGAACGTAAAGTTCCAAAATGTCGAAATTTACTAGGAAAGAAAATATTTGAGCACACAAAAATATCGTGAGTTAAATCCATAAGTAAAAAATTTCAGCTTCAAAAACGTATATGGTTATACAAAATAAATTAAGAGGATGTCAGCGCACTATTTATTTTATTTTCCCTCTTGGGCCCACGCTCAACATAGACAAAAAGCATGAATCATTTTTTTCATGTTTTTAAGTACCTAATCTTAGAGTAAAATCAGCTATTACAAAAAAAGATAGAGAATAATATTTTAGAGGGAAGGGCATATCAATTTTATATTTTATTATTATTTGACTTTGCATTCAACTTTAAAAATAAACAAATAAATGTTGTAGATTTAAATTATGTTTAAATTGTTTTGAGACAATATTTAGACAAATCGATATGTCATTTCGTCAAAAATATTATTCTCTATCCTTTTTGTTATGGGTGATTTTACTCTAAGATTACTTAAAAACATAGGAAAAACGATTCTACGTTAATCTTTGTTTATGTAAGACACGGGTCAGTGAGAGAAAACAAATAGTGCTCTGACATCCTCTTAATAATAGATCTTTTGAGCTCTCCTGGGGCAGACAACACACTGAACTAAATGCCATCAAATTACGACTCACTTTTCGACGCCGAGTGACAACCTACTCCGTTGTATTTAGTTCTTGGTAGAAAATCCCTACACCTCCTATCAAACCAGTAAATACACCACTGCTGAATATAAACTGAATACCTAGTACACATTACTTTTTTAAATAAAAGTTGTAAATTAGCGCTATAAACCATTACCATTGAGTTGCTAAAAAAAATAATATATATACATTATAATTAGTTATTCATACATAAATTATACAAAGTTTCATTTTGATATCAAATTCTTATTTAAATTTTAAAACTTCAAATATGATTTATTTCTATTTTGAATAGAATATATACTCAAAATACTCAAATATATTGTACTCTATATCTAGGTATTAAATTGTATTACTGTATGTCTGTATCAATCTATGTTAAATTAATAGATATTATTTGATCATTAATTAAAAATATTTTATCAGCATAAAAAATGTACCTATGGTATAATTTTTAATCAATGATCTTACCACAATTTTCTTTTTCGATGCATACACGTTTGGCTTCTAGTCGCAAGTATTTCTCATGTAATTCATCATATTTGTCTGTCCAATATTTACATTTGTTTTCTACTTCAAGGATCTTCTTTAAATAATTAGTTTTTTCACTGTTAGTTTGGTCAAAGTTTAACATTTGATGCAGCTCACTAATTTTATTTTGTATGGACGGCGTGTACATACAATCGTTTTCTTTAGCCTAAAAATGTTTTTAAAAAAAAGTTTATACCTACAATTTTAATAGGTAATTTATGCAAATTTATTATCGTGCCTCCTTGTTAATCTGCAGATCTTGTTTGATTTCGTTTCTATTGCTTTGGGCATCAAAGGACTCTAATACATTTTTTAATTCTTCTTCTAAAATACTATGTGTGTTACAATTTCTTCCCAACAACAAAACTTCTGAATCCTCCTAAATTTGTAGTTCATTAGAAATAGAGACATTTGTTCTTTTACTTTGTATTATAATATAAGTATAATAATTATTCACAAACATTGTTGTGTTTATTTAGTGATAGTTTTTCAGTAAAACTATTTGTTTCAATATGTTTCTCATTGGGTATTACTATACAATTCATACTTGACATTTCGTTGATCATAGACATTTTTTCTTCCTAATAAGTCAAACGAACATTTATAAGAGTGATTTAATGATCTCGATAAAGATATTTATAAATTATAATGAAATGTAATGTTTAATAAATTCAGTTACCTTAAATTTATTCAAATTAGTATCAACGCCAGCTTTGAACGATTTTGATAATTTCAATAGTTTTTCCAAGGGAAAGTCACTATATAGAAGTTAAATAAAAATGAAAAACAATCAGTTGCAAATTCATAGATCCCGTCAAACCTTTCGATCGTGTCAGATTTTTCTTCTAGTTTTGTATTTTCTTCCAATGGGTTTTCGTTGTCTTCTGGTGTGGACATGGTATATACTAAATAGCACAGAAGTTTGTTAAACAACAATAATAATTTATAAATTAGTAAAAAAAAAAACATGAAATTAACGTGTTCAAATAGATTATATTTTATTTTGTTTTATAAAACATTATAGCGTATACGTAGTATCATAATAGTCGAATGAATCGGTAGGTATAATAATATGTATAATATTATGATAATGGCAAAAATTCATAACAATTGATAGTGACAATATAGATGGGATTCTTTGTTTGTTTGTACATAGTATGACTCGCCGTATCCGTGGCAACATGTGACACGATTTTTGAACCAAACGGGATGTGTCTAACTGTGCAACTCAAAATATGTGCCCACACTTACTACTCGTATACAACAGCTGTTTGGTATAAACCGTTAGACCGAAAAGTCGTGCCTATGTTATTGCTAATCCCAATTATATCATAAAAAATGTATACATCGCGAGTTATACCTTTTATATTATTTATTTATAATATATATCATATTTGTACTATATTATACAATTTAAAAGCTGTTAATACGTAGGTACCAACTACGTGATAAAGTGGAAACATTTTAAATTTTTTATAGTACACCTTGGGTATACTATATGGTCATGGACAACTACGGTATTGAAACTAAAGACTACGTGTAAGAATCAAGGACATAATACCGTGGTTAACAATTTCCTCTAATTGTTGCCTTTACGTAGCCAATAGATAAAATTCGGAGTATTTTACTGTTATATTTATTCGACGATTATAAAAATTTAAAAAAAAAATTTAACATCGTCAAGTCTTCATAAAAACATCATTGAAGACCAACTGCAATGTCACAGAACTATAATCAATAAACAATAGAAGTGTTAGTATGAAGACCTGAGAGTAACAACAAGACGTTTTAAATTAATATCATTTTTTTTGAGGCACTTAAAAATGTTTTAAAAATAATTTTAAATTTAACAAAAAATTTATTTAGATCCAACTTCGATCCGTATAAGTATAGTAGCCACTATCCAGTGAAATATTGTTAAAATCAAATTTGTATGATCTCAAAATCAAAAAATTAAAACTTTTAGATGTCTTGTTGTTGTATTAGAAATAATTATAAAGTATGTGTGTACACATACTCATGACGAATAAATGATTTCAGTGCAACGAAAACACATCTCCGGTGTCCGGATATGTCTTGTTGCACTACACAATCGAAACCAGACATCTCAATTTATATGATATCTTTGTATTTAAAAATTGGATTTGTCTGGTAGTTGCATAGGAGCAAATTGGGGGGAGGCTTGTGGGTGCTAAGCCCAACAAACTTAGCCGTAGCCCCCCAAGAAACCTAGGAGGACATACAATTTTAATAATGCTATATTGCAATGGTCTGCTTGCCTTTAATATATTCAGCCCCCGCAAGCCAAAAGTTGAAATTATGCCTATAGGTAGTTGCACTAAATGATGCAGTTTTTTTTCTTAATCAAAAACTATTTTTTCCTAAAATATGGGGAATAGATGTCTTGTCTTTTGTTGTCGCCCTCAGGTCTTCATATATTGGTACATTCAATTTTATTTCTATAAAAATCTGTAATATCCTGTCTAGTGTTTATACATTTCGATTCTTAAAGTAAATTATCTGTCATTGTTCACTGTTGTGTTTTTCATGTTTGGTTAATATTAAAATTTTTTTTTTTGTTTACTGTAAATTATTACATTTTATTGCTTATTGGATAATCATTACTTGGAATTATAATAATATTTCATGTATATGTATCTTTATAGTACCTATTAAATGTTGACAAATTTTTAAAAAGTTGTATTCGTGTATTATACAGTTTTATATATTTAATAACTTTATCTCAGTTTTTGCTTTTATAACTTGGTATTAACTCTTATCTCAAATAGGTACCTACTAGTCTAAAAAATTTATTTTATGTTATTAAATAACATCGAGCAGCATGTAATATTGTAGTAACATACTATAATAATAAAATTACTTTATTTAAAATCATAATAATATAATGTGTTATACACTATAGGTAATGATTTTGTCAAGGAAGTGTGGATTAGAGTTTTTTTTATAAATGTCACAAAAGCAATTATGGAACTTCCCAACATCCGGAAGATCGGAATTATATTATATTTAAAGTGGTACACGAATTTGAAAAATAATTATTTTTTTATCACATCTATTATATACATGTAATAATAAAAAACGGAAATTATTAAATAGATAAGTATCCAACTATTCATACAAATATGAATATTGATAAATAAACCAAAAAACCTTGTTTTATACTTTGTGCAGTTTGAGAATCTATAGGTACCTACTTCCTACACTGTTTTATTTATAATAAAAAAAAAAAAATGAAGATTTGTCGCTTACTCGTACTAACTGTCTTCATTACGTTAATATATAATTTAAAGGTAAGCATATAACTCCATACAATTTTTTATATTTAGTTTTAAAGTTGTTATAAAAAATATTTAAAGTACCTATAAACCATGATTACATTTACTGTTTTTCCTTAATTAATCATTGTTTATGCATATTTAAAACTACCTAATAAATAATAATTAAACATATGGTGCACCACAGTACTTTATTCTGTAATTATAAGTTTGATTGTATTATTGACAATTATAGCTCAAAAATAAAAAAGGAACATAGGGCTAAAACAGTTTTATAACTTTCAGCCCGCATTATATGAAGTTAAAATGTCACTGGTAAGTATAAAAGTATTTTAAGTTTTATTATTAAAACAATAAAGAGCACCGTAGATCGTGCGACTTTTGAGTTTATATGGAAGTTTGGGAACATAAATTATTACCAAATACCAATACCCTTACATATAACCAGTATAACCTAACCTTTTTATTTGTACTTATTTCAATTTTTAATTATTTTTAGGGCCAAAAACCGACAAGAAAAATTCAACCAAAATTCAATAGGTTTTTTGGAAATATTTCACGTGAGTGTTTGAAAGAACATCGCGTCACTCCAGGTGAATATAATTAGGTATATTTAGTTCATAGGAATACACTCTTGTTTGTAAATGGTGTGATTTGTATTATGAAATTTGATTTTTACCAAACTATTCAACTACTTATTTAATATACGAGTATAGTTAGTAGTTACAGACCCACCGTCAATATATATTTATTCTGATAACACTATAATTTCAGCTGTGTATATTGTATACTATATAATATTATGTACCTATAATACCTATATCATATATCAGTGGCGTGCCCAGGCTTCAGAGATGTGAGAGGTTAGGGGTTAAATTATCACTTTACATTGAAAATTCCTGGGCACTCCACTGTTATAATATATATAAATACACACTACGCAATTGTACCTACCTATATAATATAAACTTAAGAATTTGAAACTTACAGATGTGTATAAAAATAAACTAAACACACCAATACACCATTAAGTATTTAAATGTATAACTAAATTGTTATAATCGATTTGTATTATGTTTAGAAAGAATATTGGGCGTCTATACTTTAAATATTAATGACCGAGATGCAAAATGTTATGTTGCTTGCATGTTGTTGCGATTCAATGTGGTTTGTTTAATTAATATAATTACTTACTACCTTATAATAATGTTATAAGTACTACATTTTTTGATTATTTACTAGTATTTAGTAGATATTTATCATACGCGATTTTAATCATGAATCATAATTTCTAGTTAATATCAAACAAATTGTTCACCTTAAATCTTTAACCTTAAATCATATTTTCTAATTTCTAAGTAAATAAGTTTATAACAAACAAATATTTTCACCTTAATTTTCAATATAATTAATACATTTTAAATTTAAATTTACTTTTTTAATTTTGGTAAAAATTCAATTTTTTATTCAGACTACTACAAATGGAAGTTACAATGATAAGGCATTGGAACAATTGATGGCGAGGCCAAATTCTAATAATGAAATTCAAACTAGTATGAAAACAGCTATAGCAATTTGCGAAAAGCAAGGCACGTTTTTACTTATCTTATGTGATTTTATTTGATATTCAGATTTTAAATCACATAACAATAATAATCAAAGTTATAATAAAGTGTATTATTATTTTATCAGTTGACAGAGATCCTTGCGAAAAAGCGGTTAAGTTCACAAAATGCATTTATGCTCACAAAGATGAAGTATGATACAAATAAATTATTAAAACATAGTTATTCATAGTATCTAAAAGTGAACATATATAAATATAATATGTTTACATTATTTTTCATTTGTTGTTTCAGTTTATAGTTAAAAAGAAAGAAAACAGTTCTACGCCACCTGCTGATCGTCGACGACCCTTTTCTGCTCAGGGAAAACGTCCTGTACGCCACTCAACCATATTATGAGTCACTGTTTTAAATATTATATTGTTCATACTGACTAAATTTTATCACTTTATATTTACCTTGATTGTATACAATCGTATACGATTTAATTCATGGTGTATGGTTCTAGTATAATTAATAATTTTAATTTATATTATATTATAAAGCATATTATTTAACAATTGATAATTTTATTATAAATCGTACTGCAATGTCTAAACCAGTTACTCGTTACTCGTACAGTCGTACTTAACTAGGTCACTATGTATTGTAGGTAGGTATTATAACAATGGCAAATATAAAATGTATCATCAACTTTGTCCCCATCGTATTAAATAATATTTTTGAAACATGATCTTAGAAAATTATCACTCCATATTAGAGGGTTATGTATAATTTATAGGTACCTACCTGGACATTTTTTAGGGATAGGTACTCAGACTATACAACTAATGTACTTCATTATCATTTTCAATTATTGATAAAGGGATTAGGGAAAGTGTTATTTCTCAAAATAAAAAAAAGAAGATTAAGTCTTATCTATACTCGGTGGACGGTCGTCTTATACTCTTGGATCAACATTTTCGTAACTTCAGTTAATAGTTTACTGTTTACCATATTTTTGTTCGTCAATAAATGTTGATCCCCTATGTAATTTAGATTTTTATTAAATAGAGTGCATATCGATCGATCATCCAATTGATAAAATCGAATGTCCATATTATTCTTACTTCGCGTGTGCCTAAATGAACTCTAATAAGGATAAAGAAAAATGATAACAATACAATTTAGAATGTAAAAATAAATTATATATTATTTAAAAAAAAAATTAAAAAATGGTAACGGTATAATATTTAAGAAACTGAAAGTTGTCCACAGATAATGAAATAATATTAACATCATGTTGCAGGTGTACAGGGTCTTTCGCATAATTTTAATATAGTAATATGAATTTCAGGTATATAAGTGAGCTATAACGCCATGCTTAAACTTTCACAATAATATGGCAATAAAATATAAATAATAACAATAATATAACTAAGGTACACGTTAGCTGGGATAAGTAAAATTAAATTGTTCATGCATAAATTATTATTGAACGATCGACCTGTAAGCCGAACATTCTCACGACAGTTGTGTGGTACCGGGGGGGTGTTAATCCCACCAAGTACCAACCAATATAAACGGCGTCCAATAAACGCGCCAATAACGGCGGAAATAATATTATAATATTGTATGCGACACGACGACTGTACACCCGATAATGGTTATAATAATAATATTATGTTCACTTCTTGCGGTTGTTGTAGTAGACGCGCCCGGATGTCGTCGACTTCGGATAGCACCTGGTCATGGCGTGGCCCGTGTAACCGGGCGGACAGGAGCACGTGGCCACCCGGTTGCGGGCGTTGCACTCGGCGTCCACGCCGCACTGGCCCGTGCACACGTTCCTGCACTGGTAGTCGACGCACGTCTGGTCGTGACGGCACTCGGCGTCGACGGAGCACTCGCCGCGCCTGCACCGAGTTAGAGCGTCGCCTGTGTAACCGGGCAGGCACGTGCACACCGGCCGCTCCTTGCCGGTGACGTCGTGGCCGGGCTGACACCGGGCGTTCTCGCCGCACGGGTTCGGTTCGCAGAGGTCGGCCGGCTCGAACGGACGGCACCGGACGAACGGGTCACCGGTCATGGTCCGTGGGCAGCTGCATATGGGCGTCGCGCCCCGCGCCTCGCAGTTGGCGTTGACGCCGCATACGTTGCCGCTGCACGGGTTCACGCACCTCTCGCCCGAGCACGCCGGACGGTCCGCCGGGCAGTCGGCGTGAGACAGACACTCGGCCCGGCACGATGTGTACGGGTCGCCAAAGTAACCCTGCGTAGGATACACATACAGATTAGCGTTTGCGATGAGAGATATTATTATTATTATTAATATTGTTAATTAATGTTATCGATTGGCTGGGGCAGGCTGATAAAATAAAAATTGGCCCCTGGGAAATAGAAAATTCAGCCCAATTTTTGGCTAATAATAAAATATATTTTATAAGTGATCGGCCCAAATTTTTGCAAGCATCCTAAATTTCCGGCAGGCCCAGGTGGGGATCACCCACCCGCCACCCTATAGCCAGTCAGCCTCCGACGATTGGTATCTGTTACAAAAAATATTTTTATTTTTTTGACTTTATTTTAAAAACAATAATCTGTAATTTATTTATTACAATAAGTTTGTATGCATAAATATAATATATTTAAGATATGAAATGAGGCACGTGAGAAAAGTAGCCACCCAAATACTCAATGACAATACTTTACTTAGGGATTTGTTTAGTTTTTAATATGAATTTTAATTAAATATATTTATTTTTAATGGCTTGGTGTGATGTGGTACTTGTGATTAATCGCGAAACGCGATCTGCGAGTAAGCACCGGCCGTTGACACTAGTTCCCGGATGGGTGACCATCTGGGTTCTTAGTCAGAAATCCTTACTACATTACACACACGTGTCCAAAAACCAACCGCTTCCTTCCCCCATAGTGACAAACCTACAAAAATAGCTAATGACCATAGTCGCCAGGCTTAAGTTCCAAAAAAAAAAAATTGGCCTCTTTTTTTTATTTTTTATTATTATAGATTTAGGCCACACCACGATATATTTAGCCTTCGAGGAAATTTCTCAGGAATTTAGTACTGATATAAGAGGATTTGGATGGTTTGTAAGTCGAGAGCGGAAACGTTTGTATAGTACCTTTGCGGTTTCTTCTACGTGTTAATTTTTAAATCAGTATGAATGGTGTAATTTTAGATATAGAATGGGGTAGGTATTTGTAATTATACGAAGTCACGAAAAGTTATGGATTGGAAAGTTTAATTTTTGTAGATTTTTAAATTTTTGGCCTGCCCAAACCTTGGTGCACTTCAAATTTGAGTATAACTGTATAAACGCATTATTTTAGTAGATACCTATTATTTACTTTATCACATAACCAGTGAACTGTTATACTAATTACTAAGAGATTGCTTGTCAAATTAAAATTTTAAACTATGGAAAACGCATGGTTTTTCAACGTTAATGCATCGTTATTATATATAGAGGTGCTAAATTAAAATGCCAAGTCAAGGTCTTACTTTCGGACACGAACAGGAAGCTCGGTGGTTGTGGACATCACATATCGCAGTCGGAGCACAAGTTCCTGGAGAGCATGCTGATGTGCACTTGTACTGTTGGCACATCTGGGATGGACCACAATCGTAGTCTGAATCGCATTCGTGACGGCAACCAGAAGAAGGCGAACCGATGTAACCCGAAAGACAGGTGCACACCGGTACGTCGTTGATCACTTCGCATTTGGTGTTTTGGCCGCACGGGCTGGGGTAGCATAGTTCTTCTGGAAAGTTTTTGATTTAGATTTAGATTTGAATAAGTACCTACAATATACTCCAATCACCGCTACCACTTTCATTCAGTAGAGGATCCAGAAGTTACCCAAAGAGGGGGCGAATTTTCAAAAACTAATTTGTCTTTTTGTTTAGCCAAATATTATAATAGAAAATAACGTTAAAAGACAGCCCAAGGGGGGGGGGGGGCGAACGCCCCTTAGCTCCCCCCTCGTATCCGCCACTGCTTTCATTTCTTTCAAAACATTTCTCTTCAAATTAAATTAAATTTACTATTTTATTGAAAATGTCGACTGGGTTTAAAAGCCACCGTGGTCGCAAAATGTCTTCCTTAAAGCTATTATTCTACTTACTTTGATTAATAGTTCTAATAGGGTCTAATAGGTTTCCTAAATTTTATTGAACAAGAAATAGCTAGATTCCTTTTGTAAAAAACACTATAAGTAAAAAATAAATATTTAAACCTTAAAACAAAATCATTATTTTATAAATGATTATACCTACCTACTCGAGCTTATTTGGGCCAACTTTGGAATAAAGTCAAAATATAAAATAAAATTTAAACTTTCGAGATCATAGCTTTATGTAGAATTTCTAATGCCCCTTCTTATGTGCCTAATGATATTCTAGATACCAAATTTAAATACAATTCCGTGCATGAAGAAGCAATAATTTTTTTACAAAAGATTTCAAAACTTTCTATAGTTTTTCTCTTTGATCCACTAATCAAAAATATCTCTGAGCACTAGTAATCCCAGGTTACCTCTCAAGATGACTTAGTGGAACTGGTGTTGTGATATAATATATTAAACACTAAACATAATATTACATTTATATCAAAAATAGAAAATAAAAAACGTATACAACTTATTAAATAAATAAAATAATTTTATAGTTTAAAGAGACATAAGCTAATGGGTTTCGAGGAATGTTTCATATTTGCATGTTAAAATATTTTATAATTTTATTTAATCAAACGTGTTGTACCTACTGCTGTATACTAACCTGTATACTACTTCTAACTTGAAAAGGACATTTTCATCGAACAACTAACTTAACCAAAAAGTCTAATTACAGCTCGGAGGAGGTAGGTAGGTATTTACTATTTATAACCAAAAGCATAAATAAAAATTTCTATAACATTAAAAAAGTTCTACTATATCAACGTCAAATTGTTTACGTGGGTCCATTTGGCGACAAGACACTGACGGATCACCGATATAGCGGGCTGGACAGGAACACACCGCAATATGATTCCTGGGCGAGCAATCAGCGTTACGTCCGCACTGTCCTGAGCATACATCTTCACATTTGTAATTACGGCAAGCTTTTGAGTTTGGGCAGTCTTGATTGACTAAAATAAAATAAAAAAAAACAAAAAATAATATGTATTATTAATCTATTGTTATGCCGTTGCCCGTTTGTCCAGATTTCTTCTTTACACTGAATTTAAAAAAAGTAATTTTGTAGACGTATACGTGCGGGTCCTAGCGAACCATTGTTAAAATAAAAATTAATGTTTATTTTCATATTTTGAAACAATTATTTATGTTGACAATATTATAATATTACAAAAAAAACCAATTTCAGTAATATATTATACCTATACCTATTGTATAAATTGTATAGAGTACTTACTTATTAGTATACCTACCTATTGGTCATCATTGTTTTTATTAGGCATGTATTGCATAATATTTCCCATTTGTAAAGTGCGAATGCGTCAAAAAGTGGCGTATTTATTTACGGAGGGGTGTCCAACATTTATTGAACCTCACAAACAACATTTTTAGAATTATTAACTTACTAATATTTTATTTATATTGAGTTCAAAGTTGTAATATAAATTGTATTGAATATCGATGTTTTTCCGATTATTTTATTTTATTGTCCTATAATGGCGTTCGTCCCCAATGGGTTAATAATTATTTAATTTATTTGAATAAATAATTACTTACGTAGTTACGTATGACAAATTGACAAATAATCAGTGCCGCATTTAAGGGGGGCGCTGAGTACAACTGCCCCGGGCGTCAGTATTTTAGGGGTGCCAAAATTTTGTGGTCAGAAATTTGTTTACTTGTGAATTATTAAAATTTTATAATTTTTATTATAAAATTAAATTGCACAATTTGTATTTTATATGTCATAATTATAACACCCAGCTCCCTAAAAAATGTATAGTTATGGCTATGATAGTCGTGCTATGCTTGACTAGTAAGTAGTAATAACTGATAAATTGGTCCATTGTGAAAATAATTTGTATACATAGGCGTGACTAGACTTCATCAGCAGGGGCAGCCTAGCTAATAACCGGCGCTACCTTAGTGAACTAAAAAAAGTCCTATACACCCAATTCGTATTTTTTCAAGCCCCCTTCACAATGAAATATTCATATAATTTAAAAAAAGTCAAAATCATCTATTTGCAACAATAATCTACAGTAATCTCAGAAATATTATTCATCTACAGCCTTGGATTACACCATCTAACTACAAATCAAAAACAATACAACAATAATATCAATAATACCTAGATGCGTACTGTATTTACCGTTGTCGCCTGTCTCAAGTCTTTATAGTAGGTTTTTCCGATTTCGGAAGTCAGAAAATCAATCTTTGTAAGTAAATGGTAATTATAACGATACCCACACAAAAATCATGGTTTTTTAAAAAAAGAAATGTTGTAACCCTTCTGACTTCAAACCCGGTTGACCGGCACCTTTTAAAAATTGCAGGGGCAGCCCAGGCACCCTAGGCTGCCACCGTAGACACGCCAATGTTTGTATACCTATACCCTGGTATCATTTATAATGAAATGTATAATTCTCTAAACTGATAAACTGTAAACTAGATTAAAATCATGAACTTAGATATATTATCTATATAGTTATATTATAGTTTATCTTGGTTAATGATTAAAATATATTACATACATTTCACAATATTTTCGTAGTATTTTCGCTGCGGCCTGAGGGTATTTTTGTTATCGTAAAGACCCGGTGAGATTCAAATAATTTCTGGATATCCATCATATATTCATATCCCTGATAAATTGTAGGTTAGGTTAGGTGTCGTCGAATCTAATCAAATTAATTTAACTTTTGTCGTTTATATAAAAATACCATTTATTTTATAATAATATAAAAATAGTATACTAATATACTATAAAATAAATGATAACAGCAATGTACAATATATAAGGTTTTTTTTTTTAAAGTCGGGGGGTGTCCAGACATGGAAGACACCCTCCCCCTAAATACGCCACTGGTGACAAATTAAATGGAAATATTTAAATTAAAATGATAATTTAAAAAAAAAGCTCTGAGAATTATTTGAAGATATTATATGAAATATAAAACTTATGCAATTTTAAGATTTTTTTTTTTGAATGCAAAATTACAAGTTTTGAACGAAACCGTCTTACTAGTCCAGCTAATGTATTAGGTACACTCAGTGGTTAGGTTTTTTATAATATTCCTTGAAGTACGAGGATGGTTCTTACGGAGATAATTTTAGGAAAATCTGTCGGAAACTCGGAAAAGTAGGAAATCTGGATGTAAAAAATACAACAGTGACGCAACAGGTTAGGTTAGGATTTTGTATTAATTGATTATATTAATCCAACATAGGTAGAATACGACAAACTTGATATAACTTTGATACTTTAGAGTTAAATCATACACTTACATACAAACAGCACGGGGTCCGCGATCTACCGCAGGTAGATTACCTACCTGATAATATATTGCTGTAAATCAGAATTTGTATTCTGTACAACGGAAAAGTCAAGATTAATTTTAAACACCATATACGAAATAACGAATTGAACAAAGTTTGAGTCATATAGAGTTGGCACATTTAACGGGAAACGAAGTGCACGGGATCCGCTAGTATAATATAATATTGTACAATTATGTTGCAATCGTTCTAAATAATGTTATGATTTATGACGAATCCGCCGCAAAATAATAACGATAATTTATGCGCAAACGACGCGTTTACCTTCGCACTCTCCACGTTGACAGTAGGTCGTCGGATTTCCCCAGTGGCCGGGCAGACAGCTGCAAACAGGTCTTCCCTCGGCCACGCGGCACTGACTGTTGGAACCGCACGGGCTTGGCGAACATGGATCCGTGTACCGGCTCGTGTACGAAGTAGGGTTGTAGATGATCATACCTGTTCACGCACAAATTTGATAACAATTTATGTCAACGGTGTAATTGTCATTTATAATATAGAGTGCGGTGGCGAGGGTGGTAGAACAGACCCCCTCAGGAAATTCCTAGTTGCAATATAGTGTAAAATCTTGATATTGGTTGTATTATTTAAATGTGAGACTTAATATGATATAAAGTAAATGTACCCAACTAAAACAATAAGTAATAAGACGTTACTCAAAATTGTCTATACTATATAATATAGACGTTTCATACGTAATGAGATAATATTATAATACCTACACGAAATTTATGTTATTTAATAATATATATAAACCTATACGTTTTTAATGTGACTATTTTTTTTTTATTAAAATATATTAAAGTTCAATACAATATTTTAGTTTATAAATAATATCTACTTTTTTTTTTCAAACTTACTATTTGTTTGTACTATAGTTAATTTGAAATTTTAATACTATTTTCAACAATATACATTTTAAAGAATTATATTTATTCAGAATTTTATGATTGTTTACTTGATTACCTTGTGTTATATGACCGATTGTAACGGCCATAAGGCCCAGCATTCTTAAACACTAAATGGTAAAAAACAAAAAACAAAAACAATTATAATATTTCTTCGAAGCTGACAATTGTTGCTGATGCATATAATATAATATTATATAAGTGTAATTTTGTTGGAACATATCTATACATCTGATACAACTAAACATACTCATCCCGACATTGACCTCAATCTAAACATCTTCAACGATAACAAGGATATTTGACTAGTTATGGGCATTAAAATATGTATATAGGTATGCATTATACTGAATATAATATTGTAATTGCAGATTGTGTTTTAAATTTAGTCTTGATATGACATAACGACATAACGTTAATAATCTTACGTAGTTCATAGTTTCACACCTTTATATTCATCTTAGAAATATAGATTAATTTAACTTGACTAAAATTAGTCAATATTTCTGATACGTACCTATAGATTAGGTACTACTTATAGTTTTCTTTATTTCATAACATGGTATGAATTTATAAAGTATGTAAAATAAAATAATTAAAATAAGTAGGTACGAATAATACGATTTATTTTTCGAAATTAAATAAAATTTATGTTGCAAAAAGAAATCATCTGCAGTATTTGAAGACAATAATAGTTCAACTCAAAATGTACAAAATAATTTGGCCTAAAATCATATTTATTATACATTTAAAATTTTACGATTTCAAGGAATGAAATATGTATGATACGTGTGTGAATATTATACAATTTCCCATGATGGATATGGTATAGATATATTTAAACGGCTAATTTGGTAGATTTATATTTAAATTACAACAATTGCTTATAATTGTTTGAAATATTACAATAATCAACATTTAGACTTAAGACAAATCTTATGTATCGTTTATAAATTATAATTTATTTTAGTGAAAGTTAATAAATATAATACCTATTACTATTATGATATTATTATAAATACAATTCAATGAATATGATGGTTAATGTTTCTAATGAATATAATATCATAAGTAAATTAATATGATATATAATCTGTTAGTTGTTACCTTAATAATGGTTGATACTAGGATGAATTTATTATAATATTAAATATTTAATAATAAATTATAGTTATATTATTTGTATCGGCTTACCACAGTCATGTTGTATCCGGACAGTATCCACCACGCACAACTAACTCTGTTCTGCCGTCGACGGGAGTATTTATAACGTGAGACGATCCTTGCGTTTCATGGTCAAAATACGAAATATGGGCTTGACCAGTCTCGCGTGCTGCACAATATGCCCACCTTTGGTTTACCGACCGCCCACACGGAACAGAAAACTAAGACTTCTGCGGTGCGACTATAGGTACCTATCTACATATTATATATGATATGGCGAGATACCGACAAGACAATCGCCTAATTGACCAATTCAACGTGGCCACCAAAACAAACGCCCACAATAAAAATACATAGTTGTTTTTTTTTGTTCTCAATACTCAGCTCTACACCTATATAATGTGTACAAAATGGCGTAGGCTATATAGGAATTGCAAACAAAAAATTAATAGTATGCGAAATATTACGCATTCGACTCGATTTTTGACGTCATACAACACCCATTATATGAATTATAAGTGTATTGCGAAAAGACTTTTCGCCAATCAATAAAATCACAACAACATCGACTATAGGTACAAATTGTTTTGGTCCCACTGTGTATTTGATACACGTCTTATTAGTTATGTAGGTAGGTATACCGCGTATACGCTTAGTAACCTACATTATACAATTTTAGATTCTGAGTGGAACGATGAATGTATTGATTTTACAATGATGTGTGTTTTTATATTTTTTTTTATTTTTTTTTTTTGTGTCTGTGTACACGATAAGTAGTCGAAATAATGCTTCGATTTTCGACTTCAGTATCTTGTTCGATTGGAAAGTGAATATCGTTGGTGCATTGAGGAGGTCAAAATTTAAAATTCCCAGTACTTTTCAAAACAGCCAAGAAAAACAAAAGAAAAATTAAGGAAAAACGGGAATTTTTACGCAACATCGATTTTTCAGAAAATTGAATTTGGTTTTTGGTGTAACTTTAAAACAAATGACCGTAGATACATGACATTTTCACTGGTTGTTTATATTTAAATTTTCTATACACGATAACATTTTCAAAATATTTTGATTTATTTTGAACTGTTTAGGGACATTTTCATTTTTCATTTTTTTTTAGTTTTTTTTCTAGAAATTTCAATAAAATTTTATTTGTTGGTTAAAAAAACTTGAAAATTTAATAGAAGGCTCCTAGTATATTGTTTCAAAGGCAGATGAAAAATATTAAAATCGTTAGTCACAGTTTTTTTTTATAAGAATTTAAAGTTCAAAAATTGACAAAATATGGAAAAATCACGAAAATTAGCAAATTATTTTGAGTTAAGAATTCGTAAAAATTTTTCTTTTTAAATCTAAGATTTGAAAATGTAATACAAGATTCCTTATAAGATTATCTACCTTTATCAAAACAAAAATGTCTATAAGAAAGTCAAATTAAATTTTTATGAGCGTTTGAAATTCAAATTTTTACAACATTGGATATTCACTCGATTTCTCATGTAGCGATTTCCTTATTTTGTTGTAATTCAAAAACGAATAACTATAGATACACGAAAATTTCACTGAATATTCATATTAGCATTTTCTATACACTGTACAGTTTTGAAAATATTTTGACTTAATTTTATTTTAGTTTTATTTTTTCTATAAATATCAATAAAGTTTTATCTGTTGGGCCAAAAAGTGTAAAAATGTAATACAAGGCTCCTGATATATTGTTACAATAGCAATTTAAAAATTTTAAAAATACATAGGCACAATTTTTTTTTATAAGCATTTAAAGATCGAATTTTGACAACATTTATCAAAATCTCGAAAATTGTCAATCATTGTAATTAATAAATTATAAAATGTTCAGTTTTTATAGCTAAGGATTGCAAATTTAAAACAAAGGTTATCATAAATAGTTCATACTGTAACCAAAAAATCTAAAAAATATATGAATACAGTTATTTTTTACAGACATTTTAAATTCAAATTTGGACGAAATTACATAATAAAAAACCTAGAATAACTATTTTAGTTATTTTGTTGTGATTGAATAATATTTTTCGTGGGTACTTGAAACTTCTAAAGTATACTACTATATCTATGATAGTATCAGGGTTTGTTGTTGATGTATAACGCGTTATAAGTACCTAATGGATATATTGTGATATGATTAATTTTGAATTCTTTATAGGTACCTATTATAGGTCAATTTTGATTTAGTACCATAGATATGTATATAATATGTCTTATACCTAGACTGACATACCGTCTCCGCTCAGAATCGTTTTTCTTATACAATGATATTATATCGTTGAATTCAAATTTAATATCATCCATTATACAGTGACCCACTTGTAACCTACTATACAGCAGAGCGACACCCACTTGCCCACCTTTTTTATAATTTGACTTGACAAAATAAAGAACCATCAACTTCTTAAATATTATATCAGAGTTCTAGGTAGAGGACTTAATCTGCTTATGAATTACAAAAAAAAAATGTTTTAGTTTTATTTCAATGAATTGTAAATATACACATTACATGTCTTGTACATTATACATATTGTATTATGTTTGAATGTTTGATATGATATTTGATTACAAATCTATTTTATGTTATTCTGAGTTTTTATAGCTTGTTTATTTACGAATTTAAATGTTAACGAAATTTCATGCCCCGTGTAAATATACAGTGCTTGGAGTGGTGGTGAGGAGTAATTCGTCTTTTGAAATAATTATTTAGCCTAGCCTACCTTATTTTTTTATAAAATAAGTCATTAATAGTCTTTAGTTAGGTACTATATTATGGCTAGGTACCAGGTACCTACTTTAGTATTTTCCAATACTTCAAATACTTTTCTCCCTATATATAATCATTAATCACTGATAATTCAAACTTGACTATAATATATACAGGTACATATAATACATAAACATAAATAGATATACGTAACTTAAGAACGTAATTATAGTATTATTTCGTAGTAATTCAAAACATTATTTATGGGGACTTATAAAATTATAAATTATACTATATTACGCAATGACATTTTTAAAATATTTAGATTAATTTTATTTTTTTAGTCAATAATTATTTGTACCATGAAGCTATTCACACTGTAGTATGGGAAGGTGGTATTGACTCAAAAATTATTTATAATAATATAGGTAATATGATAGAAATATAAAATATTATAATAATTAAATATTAATTCATACAATAAATGCAATGTTTTTGACAAAAATTAAGCTGACACAAACAGTGCACGGAAACTTATGCTTTTGAATACTTGTTCGGGAAGTATAAATAGAATAAATCTGATCCGGTAAAAATTTGTGTTCTGGTGTTTGGAGTTAAAGTTTAAAAGTTTGTTGTGCATATTTTTGATTTTTTTTTCTACAAATGCATTTTTTTTATGATTTTATACACATAAAGTCCCCGAGCAATGGTAATACTAATATTAAAATGAGTTACCTACAATAACACTGTATAGCTACCAATTTTGCTAGATATAAGACATAGGAAATATCTTTCAGTTATTTTAATTTTACATTAGTAGCAGAGTAGATATAATTTACTAACGAGTAACGTCGATATTGATTTGTTGGGATGGTTAATGAAAAGTAATAACTAATAAAGTAACTTTAATTTCCCTATTGTATTTTGAAAATAAAAATAATAATATTAATTTGGGCCCTTAAAATAAATCCTTGCACCTGGGCCCAAGAGTTTGCGGCACTGCTAGTAAGGATAGCGTTCAATCTTTTGGTACAATCTTGCCTGCATATAATATTATTAGCCATCATGTTATAATTATAATAATATAATATTATTAGCCATCATGTTATAATTATAATAATATAATATTTGATTAAAAACAATTCGTATTATAATATTACTTAAGAAAATGTATTTGTGGGTACTGGGAGTGTAAAATATATAATCGACAAAAATTAGTTTTTGAAATATTAATTAAAAAACTATTTTGACGAACACCACCAGATAATATTTTACTTGGAGTACATTTTAATTGGTGTATAGTGGTTGTTAGTAGTTTATAATAATAATATAGTTAATAATAATATTATAGAACACTTACAATCTTGTAATATTGTGGTAGGTAGGTGTATTAGGAAATCTGTGTATTATATTATTATAGGTACTTTTATTATATTCATATTATTATAATACACATACTGATTAACAAACACTGATACTGCTTGAAATTTAAAACCAAACAAACGAGATTAATAAATGTATAATCAATCCTATCGATCTATTGCTAATCGTTTTACTGCCCACACAGGTTATAATTACTAACTACAAATAACAATATAATATTATGCAAATTATGCTTATTATATATTGAATCGTAACTAATATTTAAATACATTATTATGCTATGTAGGTCTAACAACTCTGTTAAATATAATTTGAATATTATAATACGTATTTTTGTGGTAAACGCTAAGGCTATAAAGTTGAAAATTAGTGCATTTAGGTATTGGCTGGTATTACATTATTTATATTATATCCACCAATATATATATATACGATCTGGTTAAATTCATTATTTGTCCATAGATCATTTTTAGTTTATCGGCGTACTTCACAGTCAATCACAACAATCTTAACTCAAAGTATTCAGCATATTTGATATTTTTTTACCAATACCACGCATGTTGTATATAATAATTATATTATAGAATATGGATTTTTTCCTAACTATGAGAGCGAGTTCCTAAAAACCAATAACTGTTGAACTCAAAATGTTGTAAAGTATTATTATTCTATACTATATCCATGAGTAGGTATTTAGCTAAGTATTTACAGCTATATTACTCTGTTAATCATCATTTATCATGTCCACATAAAGTTTGTTACTTAAATCAATGTGTAAACCAATGAACTATGAATTGTTCAAATTATTTTTCTATTTTTTTGATCGATTTTAGTCTCCGTTTAAAAAATAAAAATGAAATCTTTGGTAAATATTCCAATTCATTTTCACGGGGACGACACGTAGGCGTAACACAGATTCAATTCATAA